TAAACTGCACTGAGTTCAAGGAGAGAATAAGGTGTAATTACTGCATCTTGGCCATTCCTCTGTGTAGCCTCTGATTTTTCTCCATTGGGCTTTTGGGCTTTTTATGTGTTTTTTTTTTTTCTTTCTAATTAATTCACCAAGGTAAGTTTTCTAAAAACTTAATATATAGCAATGTTTCGCTATGATAAAATCATCCTCTTTCCTTAAAATCTGAAAAGCTACTATAATTATTAGGCCAATTCTTCAGAAATATGCAGTCAAAAATGCACTCCCACCCTTCAGATCTTACTTTTTTTTTTCCTTGAATATACGTATCTAGTCTAATGAGGCCCAGGCATATTTTTGACGGTTATTTGTTGAGATGCTTCCTTGCCTTCCCTCTCCTCACCTCCTTCTGTTCCCAGTGAAACTGTAGAAGAGCTACAGTGAACTGCTGGCCAGGCTTCTACACTCCTGTACAAAACCCCTTTGAAGTTTGTATATAAGCTGTTCGGTGTCCTGAGATGTTCTGAAGCTGCTATGAAAGCAAGAAGAGTACCTCACCTTAATCTCAGATAGTCCTAAAACCATTGCCTACCATATCTATTCCTGCTGAGATAGTGGAAAATGATCTGTGATGTGGCTTTTTTTCCTATTATTGATTTGCCTAGAGTTGCTGAAACACTGCAAGCAGCTGAAAGGTAAATCCTAGCGGTTGGAAATGTAAGAAACATGAATACATGAAATATGACACATAAGCAGTCAAAGAAATGGATGGGATGTTATTTGTTAATACTCTCTTTAGTACTTAGTTTTATTTTGGTATTTTGCATTTACATTGATACAAAAATGTGCCCAGGAAAATCCTCACTTGTTAAAAATGTCTTATTTACAATTCCTAGTAAGAGCAAGCTGTTCTACATTTATTACAGTGTACATTTTGTAATTATACAGGTCTGTTTTTTTTTTAACTACTCTTTCAAATGCGTATTTACTTTCTAGTTCCTTCTCTGGTTTTGGTGACTATGACAACAGAATTAAAATGTGCAATCAATGGGTAAAGCATTAGGAAAAAAAAAGTATTTTACACTACAGTGATATTTGACAGGGATGGACTGTTATCAATCTCTGAATTCCCTGGCTTCATTTGTAGCAAGAAACAGAGCTGCTGTCAATAGCTTTTGTTAAACTGGGGCTCTGTAGTTCTGGAAACTTTGTGTTAACATAGACAGGGCAAACCTTTTCCACTGCAGTTGCAGAAGGGTTGGGTTTTGTTTTTTGGTTTTTTTTTGTTTTTTTTTTTTTTTGTGGTATGGGAGAAAGAACAAAAGACAGTGATTTTCCTGGACCACAGAATCTGACTTAGCATCCAAAGCAGATTTAGTTTCATCTGCATCAGCTTTTAATTGATTCTTAGTATAAGTTCAAAGGTATCTGTGGGCAACCAATAACAGCTAATACCTAGTAAACAAATAGCATCTGCACAAAAAAATGTATAATTTTATCATTTTTTTGGTAATACATTAGCTGAACAAAAAGTGATTGAAGAATGTGACAAGTTCTTTACAGCAGGGTGTGAGTCTTTGGGGGAACAGAGGATTCTTTTGCCTTGTTCTATCAGTGTTAAAGGATTTTGATTTCTGTTCAGTGAAGTCTTCCTAGTACTTTTGTAAGACTTAAAGGGCAAAATCTTAACATGGCATTGTAAAGTCTGCTTAATTTTGTTGTAATAGTGAAAAGTAGTCTTTAATTATTGTATTGTAGTGCTTAGTAGTATACAAACAGGTCTATCATCTTTCCAGAAATGCAACTTTCCCACTTGTAGTTTACTGTATTTCATTTACTTACTGGTCTTCCGTAATTTCTGTTCTGTGCAGTATCAGCTAGAATCGTGAAGACTCACAGTTGTTGTTTATCTTATTTTTAAAATGTGAAACAAACTGTCAGCTCAGCCAAATCTTAGTATTGGGCTCTGTGTTGGATGGAAGGAGTTGTTTTGATTTGTTCTGGTTTTTTTTTGTTCTTCTGTATCAGTGAAAAAATTAATAGAACAAGCTTTTAATGATATTGTTAAATTTAATTTGTACCATTGTCAAATAAAATACAGAAAGCAGATTTGTGATGATTTTCAGATTATTTACCAAAATTTTCAGTGTTAAGATGTCTAAAGTAAGCTCACAGTTTGCATACAGATGAGCAGCACCAAGATTTCTTTTTTTAAAAAACGTGTACTTGTTGCCACATACACTCATTTAATTTAGGTAAGGCCCACTTGTGAGGGAAGAAAAGACATCAAAAAAACACAGCCTTAAGTAGTTAGTCTTAGATAGGAAAGAAAATTCAAAGGTAAGACTTCAGCTCCAGTCATAATTCATTTTGTTTAGGAACCAAAAGGGTTTTGTTTGCTTATTTTTTAAAGGCTGATTTTTATCCTTTGGTGATTATAAAAGTGCTTTGGGATTCTTCAGTGAAAAACAAAATATGCATGTGATTATTTCTTCTAAGATATTACCTAGATGTCATTTAGAAATATTTTGGAGTCTGAACAGATTCATCACCACCTCTGAATGTTCTGTAGAAATTAGTGCTTATGCAACATAGGGTTTTAAAATACCTGAAAGATAAATCCTAGTTGAAAAAGTCAGGATATTAGTGTTCAAATACTGTAACAGGACTACAAGAAAATTGCTTCTTTACCAAAAAATGCCACAAGATGTCACTGTAGCCTTGATATTTGATATCAAATGTTAAAACGAGTAATTAGAATTGATTATAAAAACAAAGTTATACTGGTTCAAAACATTCTTAAAGCTAGGATTTTACAAGGAAGAATTAGTTAAATTATCATAGTAAAAACTACAAGATGCAATACTGGAATTGAAAAAACTTGGTTATTCTGTACATATTTTTACAGGAGAGAAAAGAAAGATTAGTTTAAATATTTCCGGTGCTGACAAAGGCTGTTGCTAATTGCCACAAATGAGAACTTCTATGCAATGAAAATAGTATTTGTAATTTTGCAAAAGGTATATAAGCAGTATGCAAACATATGACAGCAGGGCTTCAGTTTCTTCAGTTCCTAGATTCAGCGTCCAGCTAGATGGGTTTACAAATAATAGGCTTCAACACAAACAGTTTCTAAGGATTCTGGATTCCGGATTCCACTGCTCCATCTTTGCTTCTGTTGCCAAAGAGAGCACTGTTAAGACTATTTTGAGTATGCTCATTCAAACTCCCCTTAAGTGCAGCATAGACTTAGAAATGTTACCTGGAACTGTAGTGAAAGTTTGAGTCAAAAAGGGTCTTATAAAAACTATGGTTCTAAAGATAATACCTTACTACCCCTTTTCTTACAGATAAGGCTATGGTACCCCTTAGACAATTAGCTGTAAGTAAAAAAAAAAAAATTGATTTAATTAAGGGTTAAATACAAGTGAAAGTCCTATAGAAAGGACTTTCCTATATAAGGAAAAATAAACCCATTGATTTCCATGAAAAATAAATTTTATTTTTTATTTAACGTGCTGTTACAGCTAGGGCCTCATTCATGTAAGCATCTTGTACGGAACAGTACTGAGAATGATATTTCTGATTAGGTTAACAGGATCAGATCCAAACAAAGTCATATTTAGGAATATTAGCTCTGGAACTTTTAAAAAAAAAGTAAATAAAGCAATGTAAGAACACAGGTATAAATTATTAGAACCAAGACAAAAAATAAATAAGCAACTACACAACAAGTTCCACTAGAGAAGGGTTTTCTGTAGTACTTCACCTTATTTGTAAAGCTTTCAAGATTATCCAGTGCTTATAACACTAGAATAAAAACAGAGGAGTCAGAAGTGTTGCACACTCATGTTTAGTCTCAATTGCAGACACACTAGGATTAATTATCTGAACTGGTAGTTACAGTAGGTTATTTACAGTGTTTGGGAAAGATGGTGATAATAATGTCAACCTCAGGGCTGCATATGGCTTTGTATTACAACATCTTTTTAAGGTGTTTCAAGGGGCGGGCGGGGGTGTTTGGGCGAAGAAGAACTCTTTTTCTCTTTTTTTTTTTTTTCCTCCTCAAGTTATCTCTTCTTTGCAACTTTTTGCTTTTGTTGTAAATATGAGACGGACTGTCTGCCTTGTTTAGCACTTACCAATTCTTTCTAGAGGAGAGGGTGGCAGAAGAACGCGCCCACAGCTCGAGCCAGCGCGTTAGGGGAGCTCTTTCCATCCGCAAGCGACTTCCCGAGTCCCTGTGCCCACGGCTCTACCCCGCCCGGCCCGGACCCCGCCTCAGGGGCAACACAAACCCCAGCCCGCGGGCGGCCGTGGGCGGGGCGCTTCCCCGGGCAGCGCTCGCTCATTGGCTGGAGGCGCAAGAGGGCGGCCCTTGATTGGCGAGCCGGTGTGTCTGTCACAGTGAATGGTGCCCCAGGTAGGGCAGCGAGAGCTGCGCGGTTCCCCCGTGCTCGGCTCCCCCAGAGCCGCTTCGGCTGCCCGCCCACCCCCGGCTGGAGCCCGCCCGAGCTGCTGAGGCACCGCTCCGGCCCAGCGCCGCTCCCCGCCGAGCTGCACCTCGGCACCCGCCCTGTCCCCGCGGGGCCCTGTGCCACGGGCCGCCCCCGGGCGGGGAAAGGCAGCGAGCAGCGCAGCGGGACGCGGCGGCGCTGCCCGGGCGGTGGGCGGCAGGGCAGGCGGGGCGGAGGCGGGGCCGCGCCGGGCGCAGAGGCGCTGCCTGGCGGAGCAGGGGCGTTGCTGGGCTGGGGGGCGAGCGCGGGGGGGCCGGTCACTCGAAGCGTCAGCCCTGGGCCGGGCGAGACAAAGGCTCCGTAACGCGGTTGCCAGAGCGCCGCCGGTCGCTTGGTAACCGCCCGCTGCCGCTTTATCCGGGGGCGTCTCCCGGCTGGGGGTGGGGTGGAGCTGGAGTCCTTGTGGGCGCTCGCCCGCCGTGTCCCGAGGCTCGTTCTCGGCTCCGCTCCCGCTCCTATGCGGGCTGCGGCCGCCGCGCTCGCAGCACCGTGGGCCCCGGCGGGCGGCCCCTCCGGGCAGCGGGTCGGGTCCCAGCGAGCGCGCCCCGGCCCCGCCGGCGCTGCCCGAGAGCGCCATGAGCTCGGAGCCGCCCCGCGCCTCGCTGCTCCGCGCCCTGTTTAAGATGGAGCCGCCGGCGGCTGCCTCCGAAGTGCTGGGGGGAGCCTCGGAGTTCGTGAAAGGTGAGAGCGGGGCGGGAGCAGCCCCGTCCCCTGCCCGCAGGGGTCCCGGGGCTTCCCTCAGAGAGGAAACCCGCTGGCTTTTCCCGCCTCCCTGCCCCGGCTTTGCTGCGTGCTCGGCCCCTTTTCCTGGCGGGCTCGGCGGGCTGCCCGCCCCCGGCTGCCGCGGGCGCACCTCGGCGGGTCCTGCCCCCGCTGCCCCGGCGGGGAGGGCGCGGGGCCGGCACCTGTTGCTGTGTGCGGCTGTGCCCGGGGTCGGAGCCTCCCCCGCCCGCGGGGCCGCTCCCGAGGGTGCCCGGGGGGGCCCTACAGGGCAGGGCCCGCGGGCGGAGCGGTCCGGGCGCTCCCGCCGCCGCTCACGCAGCAGAAAAAGGAGCGGTGGAGTCTCTTCCGCCCCGGGCCGCGGGGTGACAGGCGTGCCCCGGGCAGTCGGCGGGGCATCTGCCCGCACCGACCCACCCTCTGCCCTAATCTGTGTTTCAGATCGGTTGTACTTCGCTACTTTACGAAATAAACCGAAAAGTACCGTAAATACCCACTACTTCTGTACGGATGAGGAACTGGTCTATGAAAAGTAAGTGTTCTGATCTGTTACGTTTTGCATATTCAAAATGATCACCTGAGGGTCCTCCCAACACACTTTGCTACTGTGTAGAATATTTTTTGCCCCATTTAGTTACTTGCACAGAACATGAGTATAAAGTTATCCGGAATATACATTAGCTGAAACTAGTTTAACAAGATTACTGCTCTAAAAAAGACCCACAAAAACAGCTGCAAGGCTTAAATTGTGGTTGAACTAGGAGAAGGATATCTGAGCCTTGTAAGATTTGTTTAAAACATGGAGAAGATCTCTTTAATTGCATTTTATTAAATGGTGACTTAAATAGAAGACTCTTGTTTGGCATGAATAGATGAAACAATAGTTTGTTTCCTGTGTTTTCCTGTATAGAGATTATGAAGTGATCACCTTTAATATAGAATTTTAAGAATGCAATGTTTAAATGTGCTTTTAAAGAGCATCTGCAACTTGTTTTATAAGAAGGTTTTCTGATAGCACTTCCTAATGGCTTTTGTAGCTTTAGAACAGCAGAAAAAGTATTTTCTGTGAAGTAAAAGCTTCATGTGTTTGGAAAACACTGACTACACATAGAAGGTAAAAAGTAAAATTGATTATAGTTGTGAATACTATTAAAGGACATAAAATACACTTAACAAATAAAGTAACCACTCTATGCTGTGGTTAAAAAGTGGATACTCTGCACTGCGTTCCCAACTCAACTGTTTCATGTGTGATGGTTTATCTAGCTACTTGACAAAGGCGTTGCTGTAACAGAAGTGAAACAAAAAGTGTGCTCCTATTTTTTGTAAAACTTTCCATCTGGGTTGAAGAATTTGTGAGCATCAACCATTCTTCCTTTACTTCTACAGTGACTTCAGCACTGTTCCTGTGAAGGTGTAAACCAGTTCTCCTTGGTTTTTAGCTTACTTTCTATGCCCAGCTTGCAGTTTTAGGGTGTCTTTTCTACACATGTTTTTGAGTGTTTCTCATCTTAAGCTGTGCATCTTCTACTGAAGTTCCCAATGATTTGTGCCAAAAGTTGACTTTTATAGTCAGCTGCTTGGGTTGGGAGTAAGTTCTGTAACGATCATCAAGGAATTTAGATTGGAAGGCACCTTGGGAGTACCCCAAGGCAAGGTTGACCTAATATTGAAAGCAGAATTCAATTGGGGAAGGTCCTGAACAATTTGTGTTACGTGAAAATGTTCCACTTTCTTTAATGAAAAAAGCTTGTTCCTCTTCTTGACTTTTGTGTTATGCTTGACCTGAGGTGTTTTGGTTTTAATTCTTAATATGCTTCTAGGAAGGGTGAAGGAATCTTATGTGGCATTTGATCTTATGGGTAAGAAGGGGGAACGCTTCTCTACTGTTAGTTACAGAGGACTATGCTAACCAAGGACTGTTACTGGGGTATTTTGTGTGAGGACAATGTCATATTAAAAAAAAAGAAAAAAGTACAGAGAAATTTGAAGGGGAGGGGGAAAGTAATTTTCTTTAACGGGTAACAGAAATTCCATAGGTATACTCCTGAACCCAGTTATCTGTTAAGTACATACCAGGTGTAACCCGATATCACATATAATTACCAGATAATGGAAGGAAGCAGTTTCCTTTTTCTAGAGCACATCTAAAGATTTTGGACATATAACTCATGGTGTATTTTCTGAATTGACAGTTCCTACTCTATTTTGCCAGTTTTAAAGGTATCCTATATTTGATACCATAATAGTACTCTCACTTTTGTGCTCTCAAAATACTAAAATGTGATAAGAGGTAGAAATTAAGTGACAGTTACCAGGTGGTATGAATGAATTTTCTATAATAACCTAGCTCTTTTGCATAACATTGCTAAACTTTCCCCTGATATTTGTATTGCTGCACCTGTCACTGTCAGTGTATGCAATATTTAGTAGTAAACCCATGCCTCATGTTATTCCCCCCCTCTTTCTTTTCTCCCTCATATTTAAATAAGTTTATATGGTCTCAGGGAAGCAAAAGCAGGTGTCATTAGGGTTACAATATTACGTATCTCTTTAATATCTTTCTGAATTTGGACAGCTAGAGGCAAATTGAGGACTAGAATGCAAGACTCAGTTCTTGGGGAAATAGTAATTTTGCTGTAGCTTCCCTTGTGCTCATCAGCAAGCTTGACATCAGTCTGTTGTGTTTCACAGGCTGCACACAAAGTGGGGAGCTTCATGTCAGGGCTTGTCTGTAAGTAGTAGTGGAATATAACTTGAATACACCAGATCAGATCTGCTGCTCATTTTATCAAAAATGCAGCCTTCTTTCTGAGAAAGTGGTTGGAAGTATTTGTTACATGATAGCAAAATAAATACTTGGAAGTGAGCTTTGAAGTGATATAGCTCAGAACAGTGGTTTCCAGAGTCTTTATTCAGAATGGCCTACCTGACTTGTGATCAGAATTTCATGGCCAGTTCTGCTTTTTTATCAAATGAACTGTTCAGTGTTCTGAGGAGGAGGATAGGACATGTCTACTCAGGTATGCAATCCTCAGCACTTGTGAGGTATGTCATTAATTATGTTAATACAACTGTTTATTGGCTTAACTTTGTTTAGATGCATCACAGTAGTGACGAAGATTGAGCTTAGCTTTTCTTTGGGCCTTATTCTGTTAGCTTGTTACAGAATTTTATTTAGCTGACTTTACAGAGGTGTCAGTTTGCTTCACTGAAGCAGTATCTGATCTCAAAGCCTCATGAATATGTAGGTTTGGAGTTGTCTGATTACAGACGGCCTGTTATTGGATCACGCAGTACTTAAAAACTTGCTGCCTCGCTTCCTTTTTCTCCCCCTCTTGAAGAGACATAAGGAAGTAATTTTGTACATTAGTAGTATACCCCATTTATTAAACAAAGCAGCCGTAGTGCTAGATCTGATGGTTTCGGAAGTTTTGGTCTGATAAATGCTGACTTGCTATTGCAGCCTATCACGTGGTTTATTACTAAATTGTACACAAAGTGTGGTTATGTAATCTTGAGCACTTTAGCCTTCAGTTTTCACTTGAAGTTTTCAGCTGTTCTAGTGAATTCATAACACTGTCTTATTTAAACATGCACACTTTAAAGAGATAATAAAGGTGTTCTTAAAAGCATTTAAGCCTATCTGAAATGCTACCTGACTAGGAGCTCACTACAATTGTCACCAGTTAAATGTGCTGCAATTTAACCTTGAACCTATTAGGCTAGGGAAATGATATGTAAATGCCTCAGCTAAGAGAATGAGAAACCTGAATGAAATTATACAATTCTGAAGTCTTTTTAATGGTTCTCTTTCTGTAAGATTTTGTCAGAGGTTTTCTGAAACTCTGACTTTCCTCCTGAGAAAGTCTGAGCTACTGCTTATAATGGAACACAGTCTTTCAGGGTAATGTAGTGCAGGTAACTATTACTTCAGAAAAATGGAGTTAATGAGAAATAATCCAGCTTGATGGAGACTGTCATTTGGCAAATAGACAAGCCTTGCCTTGGCAAAACCTCAATTAAGTAAGAAGCTTTTTATTCTCTAAGAATAGCATCTTTCATGTTTCACCTTTCAGTAAACAGATCTGGATTGAGAATACTACACTTGACCGGTTAACTTGGCTTTCTTATAGTTTTATCAAAGCAATTTTTGATGTCCTTTTTTATTGTTGAGTAGCTTTCTCAAACAAAATTAAAATCTAAATTATGTGAAACAGGAATCTCTTACTGGTAAATTGTAATGGCAGCCTTCATAAATCATAACGGTTTTATTCAGTCATTTGTTCTCACTTTGGATCTCTTGTATAAACAGCCTTTGCAGATCTAATCTCTGACATCATCTGGGCCGTAAAAGGAGTTAATATGATAGTCTCTGTGTATCCTATTCTTTACACTAAAGCTTTCTTTCAAGCTATGGTTTGTTACTTGCCCCTTTCACAGCAATCTTCACGTTAGGTACTTCGGTTATGCAGCAACAGAATAAGACTTTCAGATGCTTAGCTGCAACAATATTCGATTAGTACTGTTTGCTCCACTGCGTGTGTATATGCAAAGAAGCAGTTTCTCTTTCCTGTGAGAAGAGTAAGGGTTAGCTTGTCTGGTTTTGCTTTGGCTAAATGATTCGTTTTGCTCTTCAGTAACAGTACTTGCATAAGAAACCTGAACTTCTGCATCGTTCTGTGGCTTATATTATTTGAAAGGAAACAGAAAACTTTAAGTTAAACTTGTTCCAACAATTAGAGCTGTTGCTTCACAGAGAACAGGGGCTTCCTTGTTCACTCCAGTAACTTTTGAAGACTTGACCTTGACAATTGGATGACCAAGACAACCTAGTAAGCTGAAGTCCAAAATAAAAAAAAGGAAATTTCCCAACTTCTAACTTCTATCAATGTGAATGTAAATACAGAGGAGAAAAACTTCTCTATGTTGAATTCTTACAGGTGAGTATTAAGAATAATGCTCCAGCTTTATTTTGTTTTCCATCTTAAAATGAGAAATTTTAATTTCACTTCAGAAATTAAATCAAGATCTAAGAACTGGGAGTGTCAATTTTTCCTTCAGACACAAACTTCTGACATAACTTCACATTTGATACTTGTAAAGTGCTGTCCCTTAACACCTGTGGTGTGCTTTTCAGTCCAACAGTTTCATAAATTTTATACCTATGTATTGGTCTTTGCATACCATATTGGTCTTTGCTTTTTCATATGTAAAAGATAAAAGCATTCGTCAGTAGCATTGAGCAATTTTTTCTCTCTTTCTCTTTACCCCCCACCCCAGTAAAAGGGTAACAGGATAAACCAGAACTGTTTTCTAGGTCCCAGTTTTAGATTGGGCAGGAGCGTAGCTTGGTACAGGAAAAACCGTTTGAGGATCTTGGCCTCTGTTAAGATGACTTTCTTTCCGTAGAGAATAGGCTTCTAGCAGGACCTGAAGATTTGTCCAGAGGGAAGCTTTTTGTGGAAGAACCTCTTCATAATTTATTTTGATGTCAAGGAGCATTGCATTAAAAAAGAATGTGTTTGGAATAGCTATTTAATTACCTACAACTTAAATCAATGAATTCTTCTTCGATTTTGAAGAATCTGGATCTTGAGGAGGATTTGGAAGTTCCAAGAAGAAATTGAGTTAATACCTGGGGTTTTTTTGAATAATACAGAGCCTCTACTTTATTCCTACCTCCAGAGGCAAGCAGTGAGGTGATTTTTCCAGGGTTATGTTTGCTGTATCATCCTTTGTCTATTCAGAAGCATGCAATCCCTAAGTAGTATTAAGCATTAGGGATTTTGTCTCGGCCCAAATAAGAAAGCTCCCAGGAATTCACGTGTTACTGAAATCACTGGGCTAGAGCAGGGAAACAGTGCCACTGAGTATCACACCGATTTTCATGTGCTTGAAAAGCAGGGAGGAGAAACACACTCCAGGAAGCAGAAGTTGGAGAAAGAAGACTGAATAGGTAAGATTTCCTGAGTAGCAGTTAGGTTGTAATGAATGGGTGGACCGATCCTTCTGATGCTCATCCAGGAACTTTGTTGTTTAAAATGTGTTCAGCTTATGATTTGAAGCAAGTACCTGTAATGGCCACTTGGCCACTTCTGCAGTACCTGATTCTTGTTCTGGTTAACGGCCAGACTCAGAGCAGATGCTGTAGGGCCCTTAGTGCAGTAACTTGAATGTTTCAGCCTAGGAAAAAAGGAGGGAGAAACAAGTGGAGAATTTTTCTCTTGCTGTAGGACATCTGTTTATCATTTTTGTGAAACTCCAGGGTCGGGTATTCAAATGCTTAGTGAAAAGGGACTTTTGCATTCAGAAGAGGTGCCGGTTTAGGCTTGAACTGACTCATGGCACCTTCACGTGGCCTCCCATGGAACTGCAGTCGGAAACGACTTGCTTTGCTGTCTCGAGAGTTGAGGGCTGCATTCCACTGAATTCCCTGGAAGCATTTACAGTAGCTGCTTGCATGACAGAGTAGACCAATGAGCCCTTTATGGGCTGGCCTTTCCAGGTGGGTGACCATTCCTATGATACAGTATAGCAAATGCCTCAGATCTTATTTTGTAATAAATTTATAGGAAGAAGTGGTTCTAGGAGCTTATTCTAAGGAGAATACAGATACCAGAAACTTAAGCTACTGCTTCCAGGTAGCATCATGATAGTAATTTTGAAGTAGACTACTTAAATATTCATCTAGTATATTCTGGGGTTTTGCTACTTAGTTTGAGAAGCCTAAGGATAGCAAGCCTCCATGGGTTGAGGGGGAAGAATAATTTCAGCTATCATCTAGGTACTTGATTAAAACAAAATATAATTCAATGTTAATTAATACCATACCTGCCATCTATTCCTCATAGGTGGTTCCCACCTCCATTGTAAGTGATTCTCTCTTAACTGGCTTAAGCTTCAGAGACATCCTGATTTCTTATTGTATTTAAATGCCTTGTTAAAATACCTAGATGTAAAAGAGGTGGAAGTAAAATAATGAGTGGATTGTTATCAGTGACTATCATATAATAGGATTTGACTTTTTCTTATGTTTATCTTCAACTTTTGCCCAATAAAATTCTTTACTCAGATGGTGACTTAGTGTGTTGTTTCTTCCCCATTCCTTATACCTCCCATTTCCCACCTTCTGCTTACATTTAACTGTATGTTATAATTCTGTTCTTAAGATGAAAATCCTCTGGGTGAGTCAGGATCAAGTGTCTCTAATTCAAGTATATAAATGGGCTTTTATAGAAAAAGTAATGAGGGTGCATAAGATTAAACCCTTCTTCTTAAACATGTCAGAAATTGTGTTTAGGTCTAAGAATGTAAATTGAAGTAAGATTTTGTAGATCAGAGTTCATTGACTTCAGTACAGAGCCTTGTATTATCTTTCAGAGAACTCTTTGATTTGGAGGTTTGTAAAGCACTTGTTTCACTTAGCCCCACTAAAAAAAAAGATAATCCAACTTATTCCACTTTAGAGGTATTAAGTGGAGAAAGTTAAAATTATGCACATAACATAACCTTTCAGTGTCACATGTCAACCCCAATGTTTTGTAAGTGAAGCCAATGGCTGCTTTATACTGCCTGCACGCTGTTATGTAAATAACTTGGGAATTGCCAGTGGTTTTGTGTAGTAATAATGCTGGTGCAGCACTGACTAAAAGTACCTTTCCTTTATGATTGTGTTTGGATTCTGAGAAATATCTTGTTTCTGCAGCACAGACAAATGGTGACAGGACCAGAGACTTAAACACAGATACTTCTGCCCCTGACCTCCACTGTGTTAAGAGAAGCACACCATACTTAATGGGAATAGGTGATGGAGAAATAGTCAGTCAAAGATTGTGACATCTTTAACTTGATGGCTGAGAAGCTTAATAGCTTCATTTTGCTTCATGGATAGACTCAAATGTATTTTATCCTTCTGTCCACCAAAATAGTAACTTGTCTGTTGTGGATAAATTTGTAAATTAATTTTTGTGTACTTTTCCTATACTTCTGTTTGAATTTAATAATGTGGAAAAGTAGAAGTGGATATATGACTTCATATTGATGTACTTCTAGCAAATGAATAGTAATAAAATAAAAACTTATCTTAAAGCATGACTTATAGAGTTCTTCAGTTCTTTAGGTGAACTGTGTATTCCATTAAATCTTTCAGCTACTTTGGTCACAATGGTTTTTTAAAAAGTAGTCTGTGTTATAGTAACTATCACATGCCATGTTTTTTCACAGTACTTTAAAAAGTATTTTTCAAAAATAATCTTTAAATCCTAAGTTCTACTTTTCCATCATATATTTAAGTGAAAGAATACTGTAAAGTTAATGGAGCAAGACAGGGTGGGGTTTGTTTTTTTTTTTTTATTTGGAGAAGGTGTTAGTGCAGCAGTATGGGAAGAGATGTTAGTAAGCCTTCTATATGGCTTTTCTAGAAGCTACAGTGTTGTTAGAACTCCAGTTTTAATTTCTTTTTTGTCATAGCTCATACTTGTCCCTATAACTTTTTTATTTCACCTCTGAAAAACCATGTGGAGGGTTTTGTTTTAAAAATACCTATAACTGTTGACTGTATCTGGAAACTTAGCTGAGATGAAGTTCTGAAGTTAAGCCCTGCTTTACTACCACTGCATTTTCCTCTTGAGTTGGTTACTGCTGTCCAACCTGCAAATAAAGTCCTAGTAGTTGGATAGCTTCCTCTTTCATCCAGCTAATTAGCTTCTGTAATTACATCTTAATATTTTGTTCTAAAGGGCTGAACTGAATCTTAACCAACACTTACATTGTTACTTGATATTGTAAAGTAGATGATACTGAAATAGCATTGGTGTGGCAGGCAGGCTACTTGTCCTAGATAGTGATCAGACTAATACAATTGTCTCTTTTTTGCACTGCTCTTGGCTTTCTTATTTGAGAGAATGTGGGGAAGAGGATATTAACGAAGTTATAAGCACCGAAAAGATCATCAAGACAAATTTCTATACACAAAAGGAAAATTATTGGGGGAAGCTTAAATTTTGAGCAGTTTTGCACAATGAATGGAGAGGGAGAAAGCTCTAGAAGAGGTTGTTTAGAAATCTAGGAGATAAACAAGAACAATGAGGAGTTGGTATTGACAACATGAAATAAATAATACATTGGAAGAACAGTCTAGAGATGAGGATTGCGGGACAAAGACAAAAATAATTAGATGTAAAGTGTATATGTAATATATAATCTCTGGAATAGTGAAGGATGGGATATGAAGAAATATGCTTAATTTTCAGACAGATCAAGACTGAACATAATTCAATAAATTTTATTACCCATAAGAAATTCTATGTAGCCTATTCTTAATACTTTGTAATGATATCTTTTGATCTTAAGCAGTTGTAGAATCTATATCTAGGATGACATCAACATGGCTTAAATTTAGATTATGTCCTGATATTCTTTACTCTGTAGTTTTGGCCAAAACCAGACTGCATATCATGGGATAAAGAAAAAAATTCTGTAGTTACTGTGTGTATATAATGGGAAAGGTAGTTACTGGAATATCTTTAACTGAAGCTACAAATGAGTTCAAATAATTGTTACTGTTGTCCTCTTAAATGAACCAATGAAGGACTTATGTGTTGTTCCATGTATATTGGCTACTCTGTATCCTGCAAAAGTTACTAATTTGCAGCTTTAATTATCAACAGCGTGGACATTGAAATTTGCCTAGCTCTTTTGTATAAATAACACTGGGTTTTGTTTCTTTTCCCCCAGTTTCTATGGAGATTTTGGACCTTTAAATTTGGCAATGTTATACAGATACTGCTGTAAACTAAATAAGAAACTAAAGGTAAGCTTTGTTTAAAAATAATGTTCCTATTTTTTTTGTGTTTTGAAATTGAAATAAAATTATCCAGTTTGAAAGTAGTGATTAAGTGCTCATTATCTAGATGGTGACTGCTAAACTTAAAGGATGTTCTTTGTTCTGAGTTCTTTTCCCTCTGAAGAGTGAAAACAATTAATATGCCTTCATTATTGCTTATCAGATGAGGCACTGAAGGCTGTGTTCTCCTTTTTTCATAACCTTACACTTTAAAGACAATAGTAACTAAAACCACTGGTTATGCTCCATCCCAACCAGACAAGTACACTGAACGTGTAGCTGTGGGCTTAACCTGTTCTCCAAATACCTGTGAAGAAGTGATTTGCAGCATGTATAGGAAATCTATCCATTTCAAGAAATGAAACATTTTAATTTCAAAGTACTAATTACTGTAACTTCTGGACAAGTAGTGAGGAGACCATCCACTAAATATAACAGATATTAAATCTTTATAATATAAAATATTAGAACTGTTACTGACAAAAGGGGAAAATGAGACTACAGATGTGATAACTTTGGCTAGTGTTCAGAGGGTCCCTTTATCAAAAATGACATTATGCTTTGGGGCTAATGTTTGCTGCACAAATAGGCAAGTTGATTCATGCTATCTACTGCTTTCAGGGACATGCTGAATTGCACTTGTTCTTAAGAGGAGATTCTCCAAATTCAGGGGTTTATAGAGTTGCTATAAACTTCTTGCAAAAAAAGTGCTTCTAGTGAAAATGTACATTGCTTCTTAACTCTAAAAAATTACTTATAAAGAGAAAAAGTTAAACTCTAGTATTTCTAATTTTGTTAGTGTGTGTTCATATTGGGAAAACATTGTCATTTCACTAAAGAGAACTTATAACTATGTTATCACCCCATTTTCCAGTGCCAGTGTCCCATTCAAACATGTGACCAAAGATGCTGACTCAGTAGGAATCTGGTTTTTTTACCTTAATTCTGCTGTTGTTGACCTTTTATTCGAGTTAAAAATTGGAGTATGCTTGCTCTCTGATGCAGTTACTCCAGAGAAGAACCAATAGTAAAACTACTATTCTAACTTCCCTGTGCCCTTGGAAACTGGAGAGATCAGTTCTGTCTTTTCCAGATTCAGATTAAGACTGCGATCAGTTTGGGACCCGAATACAGTCTCATGTATTACTGTTGAAGTCTATCTTCCTGCTGTTATAGTTGAACCAGAATGCCTTCAATCCCGAGCCTAGGTACCCAGAGTTTCACCCAGGAAATAAGTACACAACTAATAAATATCCTGGAATTTTTTTTAATGGTTCAATATTGAACAAGAATGTCTCTACAGGCTTTATTCTTCTTGTAAGGCCATCATCTGTGTTGAATGAGGCAAGCACATCATCAGAAGTGGCTTGTAAGCATGATGATCAAGGTTGGATATTATCATGAAAAAATAAACAAGGGAGCTAAATTGGAACTGAACTATTGATTTTGATATTTGCAGGGCTGATTTAACAAACTGTGATGTCACTTTAATGCAACATTTACATTTGTTGAAAAAAGCAAACATACTGACACTGCTAGGTGAAGATTACAGCTGATGAGAAGTCTCAGCCCCTCTGGGAGGAGGTGCTGTTTGTTGCTGCCAGAGGCTAATTCCAAATAGGTTAATTTAAACTACTAGTGTATAAGAGGGAAAAGTAACCTGATAATGCAACCACTTGAAAGTAATACCTGAAATCAAACAGCTAAAGCTTGGAATACTGCCAAAGTGGTGTAGAAACTTACAGTTGAATAGATTCCAGTCTGGCTGATTGGCACTACCCCTGGGGTAGGCCAGAACAGCTAATGTAAGCTTTGCTCTTCTAACAGTTAAAATATATGCCAGACTGTGACCTATTTTAGATACTACCTGCAGAGAGGGTAAGTAGTCTTATAAGACCAAGTCCCAGGGCTGCAGCATGTACATGTACCTGCATGTATCAGAAGCACACATCTGCAGGCCTCGCTAAATGACTGCTGCTCAGCTTTGCTCGTCAAGAATTACAGATTCACAATTTCTACCCTTCTACACCTCATCTTCCCATGTCGGCCCTTCACAAGTGTCCCAAAGAGGAGTTCCGAGGCTTGAACTAGTGTGTGTAAGACAGAAGTTCAGGTCATGGGAAGTACCAACTAGACTAACAAGAGAGAGAGAGAGTCCTGTTGGGGCAACCTGCTGCTTGCATATCCTTGCATTAAGGGTTCCTGTGACCAGCAGCAGGAAGTGTTTGATCATAGAAAGTAAAAGATACTGCAGATTATCATGGGATGGTTGCTATTGCCATACTACAATGCTTTTGGGACCCTGAGGCAATCAGAGTGCTTAAGCCCAGATGACTTGGTATATACTTGCTTGGGTAAGTGCTTCATGTGCTTTTCTTAAGAAAAGATTCTTGAAGTGTGGCACAAAAAAAATTACAAACGTGATGGGTTTTGTATGGATATACTATCTCAAAAGGAATTAAGACTTAGACTTGTTAACATTGAAACTCCTGTGAATAGGAACAGGAGAAATGAGAGTATAAGATCTCATTAAAACAAGCAAGCCCACAAACCTCCCTTCCAAATCTTTCAGCTGTATCTATTTCTGGTTTGGGAGAGAAGTTAGACATTAGAGGCAGTCTTCTGTTTTCCTCTCTCCTTTCTTGTGGGACTGGTGAGGATGGAGAAGGGTACCAGTTTGAAATGTGCTAATGGCAGACCAACATTTTAAAGTAAACTATGGTAACTTTGTGCTGACTGATATTAAAAACAGTAAATAATTCTGTTTTGAAGAGCTGAAGAATTTATTTAGATATCCATTTGCCAAGAAAGTTTGAGGTAGAATCCTGGTTATGCCTTACAGGAAAAGCTTTTGGACTTTGGTTGTAATGCTTCAATTGCTGTGGAGATGATTTTGACTATCCAAGTCAACAGCAAGGAAAAAATGCTTGGCTGTGCTATCTTTCTACTTATAATTTGAATTCTGTAGGGGGAAAAAACGCTTGACTAAGCAACTGGGGTTCATTTATGAAACAAAGATTTTGTTTCTTCTGTTTAAACAACTCTGACTTCATAAAAACTGCTTTAAAAAACTTTCTGTGTTTTATGTGTGTATAGCCTTACACATTCTCAATAAATCCAGGAGCAGAGATGATCAGGGAGTGTTGCTGATATAAATGATATGAATATTGAAGATCAAAGGCAGGAGAGGAAAAACTCTGGCAGGATTATGAACTATGGGGTTAATATTTTTTGTGTGCTAACTGTATTGCTGCTGAGTCACAGAGGAGTTTGGCATATTTGTTGTTTTAATATAATAAACTGTTGGGCATACATGTGGAACTGTAGTCATTGCAAGCATCTCCTTAGGACAGCCTAAATTTTGAGACAGGGTTGAGTGCACATGTTTTAATAAATAATTTTCTATGCAATTTGCCACCCTTGTATTCACTGCTATTTACGTGTACATATTACATATATATACATCTCTCTATGTATAAAAATAGAATTTGCATAGATTCAGGCTTATTAAACACACTGCAGTAATTTCTTGCTTGAACAGTGCAACTGTGTTTAACCATATCCATTATATGAAATAGTGACAAATAATCTGGTGGTTTTACACAGCTGACAATCTAGTAACGGTCTGTCTATCTTGGCACTTTCTAAGCCTGTCATCAGTTTCTCTGCAAGTAAATCTCTCTTGAGGCCTGCAAGAAACAGGAACGTATCTATTATTTAAAAAAAAAAAGTAATCTTAAGATGAAAATAACATGTTCTGGAACCCTCTTGTAATCTTATTAGTTAGTTTTATCACCTAAACCAAAACCTGCCATGCTTTCTGTGGAACCTCTGCTTTTAATTCAAAAGACTGTCTTTTAGTATGTTCCTTTGGGATATATCTTGACAGATATATGTAACTGTTGTTACATTTTGTCTTTTAATGATGTGTGAAACTGCTAAAATTTTCTTACTGGTAAAGAAAAATACTCTTAATGCTTCATAGTGCGTGCCTTTGTTTTGGGAAAGAAGATTGCTCACAACTATGTTATCTCAAAGTCTGGCTATTCTGTAAGATAACCTCTAAGGAAAAAGTTCTTGTTGAAACAGTCCTGATTCTTCAGAGTTGAGCAGTGTCTCAGGGAACTAAAGCCTTAATCCATTCAGGTGGAGCTCTGGAACTGTAAAAAGAGTCACCTTCCAGAACTGTCTTGAAAGCTTGTTATCATTGAATCTATCCAAAGGAGGACACATAGCTTATTAAGTGTGGTCAGAAAATGAGTATTTTTGAAAGTAGATCATATAGCTTAGTATTGATATTTAAGGTGTACTGAGTAGACAGTTTGCATGTTAACATTAACAGAGGCATTGCATTGACACTTCAGGAAACACTTATTGTAAAACTTGATTTTCTGTAACTAATGGGCAGATAAAAACAGTGGTTTGTCTTATAGGCTTTGGAAAAGTTAAATCACACTGCCATTTTCCACTGGCTACTATGCTATAACCTGTTAATGTCAATTAATATTAATTTCAATTTTGTGCTAAAGCTTTAGTCAGGATATATGTTTTTTGAATATCATATAACCTTACATTTTGAAAATTATGCAATAAAACTGATACATTGTTTTCATTAAAATGTTCTGGAAACTTCTGTTTTTCACTACTTCAGGTATGAAGTATCTCAAAACTGAAATGACTTGATACACCCATATGATTAAAAAATCCATTCTATAAAATAGAACAAGAACTATGGTCTCATTACATAGAACTTCTGGCTAGCTAGCTTTGCAGTTTAAAATAGTGGGTTTGGTGAACTATAAACTGCTGCAAAGAACTTTGCTTTAAAATAAGTAGTAGTCAATAAGTTATAATTGAAGTTCTGTCACTGTTGCATAACTACTGTAATCTTATCCCACCTACACATCATGGGTGGAATTGCAGTTAGAGAACACTAAAATTAAAGAATTGAGGAGGGGGAAGAAGGGAGGAATCTTAAAATACTGGGATTAATTTTGTCAAGTTTTAATAATAATTGAATACTTCACTAATTAAATAACTACTTGTGCTTTGTATGTTTGCATATACACTGAGAGAAATGTTGCTGTTGGTCTCTAGATACAGCTTCTTCCAATCAACAGCAGCCAGCTATCTTGGGAGTTACAGTCCCATTTAGACATACTGAGTTGCATTAACTCTCACTCCTTCTACCTCTGGAAGTTGTGGCTAATAAGACCAGACTGGAATGTGCAGTTAGAACTGCTATAAAAGGTGCTGTTGCTGGGGGTTGGGATTAAGAAGCTTGCTGTGATACCTACATCAGTTTTCTCCTGAGTTTATCAGCTATTTGATTTTTTTGCAGAATTTGATTCTGTGGTTAAAGCTATTCTAAAATCTGCAACAAGAGTTAAGGTGAGAGTAGACACAGATCTCTGGAAGTGAGATACAGTTGGCACTACTTAAACAAATAAAACACTGTTCTGCAGCAGGTACTGTATCTTCTACCCCCAAGTGTCAACAGTGAAGCTGGGTAACAGCAGCATTGGTATTAGGGCATTTTATAGAATGTGCAGCTTTTAAAAATAGAACATGCTTCAAATATTTAGAAATGGAAACCAGTATGTTTGTTGATGACTTCCTCAAAATGGGAGTTGTACTGTGAAAATCTGTCAGGACAAACATGCATCACAGTGTTGCAGAATATAATGGAAGTGTAGCAATTCATGAAGCTAAAAAATTATTAATGCAGTGAATTGTCCAACTTGCCACTTCTAAGTGACAATTTTGTCTCTTTCTGGCTTTAAATAGTTTTGCTGCAGTTTGTCATTATTGTTCTGTTCTGGTGCATGTTGGTTTTGTTTTCAATGGGAGTTTTGTCCACAGGATTCTGACAGAGGCTTCCTTTCTTCCTAAAGAAAGAAGAGTTGCAAGTATTGCTAGTTTTGTCTTTGCCTAGCCTTTTTTTCAGGCAATGTTTTCTTTTTTTTTCTTCTTTTTTTTTTCCATTTTAAATAAATTCTTGCTGTTCAAGTTTTCTAAAGATGTCTATTACCCCATTTTTAGGTAGTATATATGGAAGAGTGTTTTAACTTATAAAGAGCTTTATAGATTGATTGCTTCATTTTTTCTTTTGTCTTCTCCACAGAATTTTATGCAAAGAGATTCAACATATAGGAGGAAGTTTTAGTCTGTAAATGTCAATGTCTTTAATCAATGTTCATAAGCTATTCTTTCAAATGCTTAAACTTGGGGGAAAAAATTCAGTTTTTTATACTGAACATTTTAGTTCAGCTGCATTTTGTAGGATTATTTTTTACAGCTAACAAAGAGATCTGCCCTGATACAGTGGCTGCTTCCCTGTACTCTTATCTGTGATGTAAGAAGATTGTTCAGGGTGTCAGTAATTTTTTCAGTTTGGGAAAAGGGATTTTTTTGAAGTGTTCTTAAAGTGCATTCTTTTCTTATTAAATATGATATTTTGTTTGTTTCTTTCTTTAAACAGTATTTCAGTCTATCAAGAAAGAAGATAGTGTACTACACCAGTTTTGACCAGCGGAAACGAGCAAATGCAGCATTTTTAATAGGTGCATATGCTGTAAGTATTATTGATCACATGGATACTCCTAACCTTCCTTAAGAGACTTCTGCTGTGTGTAAAACAGCTTCTCAAGGTATGGATGCAGATGGTCATTTCATTCTTCTCTAAGCTGTCTTTGGAAATTCTGCTGCATGAGTTTTAGGGAAACCCTGGCTTGGCCCCTTAACTCCATTTATTTTACTAGACATGAAATGGCTTTGGCAGATCATTTGCACATTTTCCATAGGATACCATTTTCTTGAATGTCAAAAATTCAAAACACAAATTTAAATTTACATTTGAACTTGGCTGTCTTAGGATCAATTGCTTCTCATGGTAGGAGCAAGACTCATACTGGGAAGAAGAATTTTTCTCTCAGCCTTTCTTAAAGTCACTAGACCAGAAGCATAGTGATTATTGAATTGATTTCTTTTCTCAGTTTATTTTCTGTGATTGTACAAGCTTTTTGAGCCTAGAAAGTCTTTTAGCTATGAACTCTACCAATATGTGAAAGTTAATTGAGAAGGCTTGGTTTATTTGTCCTGGTGTTAAAACATTAAGTGTAAAATGAAACGTGGAAAGCAGTGGATCAGGTTCTAGGAATGGGTTTCCAGTGATGATTATGCAACTTAGATTGTTCCATTAAAAAGCTTCTTAGACCCTATAGCTATTAAAATATTTTAATAAGAGGTTTGAGTGAAAGTTAAATCTTAAAACTTCACTGGCAATAGTTTGCCTGGTTGTAAATTGCATCTCAGGAAGATGCATTTTATAAATTTCAGTTTTTACAATAGACTTCCTGTACATTTGGTCTAATCATGCCCAGTTGCTAAAATATTGTCCTTGCTCTTAAGAATTCCACACAAATTACTTCTGTCACTAATTCAGATTAAGAAAAAAATATTTAAAGTGTTACAAGAACAGAAGAACATGCAGACTTCCCTGATCATGCAGTGGTTCCTCATAAATGACCAAGACTACAACACAAACTGGTCAGTGAGGTCAGAAACAGGGTGCTACTAGGTTTTGCAAAATCTTATCAGGCACAACAGAGACTATATGGAAGCTAGTGTTGTTCAGCTTTTCTTTTCATCTGTTTGGAGATTTTAGATGTTAGGATTTTTAATCTAGCCTTCCACAATAGTTAATCTTTTCTTAAAAAAGAAAATTGTTTTGAAATACCGTTACAAGTCCTTTAGTGCATACCAAAACTAAAGTAGCCTGGTTTGGCTCAATTTGTACTTAGTAGTTTCTGAGGGGACAATGAATGAGAGTAGGGATGAATTAACCTTAACTCCCCACTTGTTATCAAATAATTAATTCTTGGAGAAATCTTGAAGGAGAGTGCATTTTCACCTGTCTGATAGCACATGTATGAATGGTGAGTTGGCCTCTCTTTCCATATATTTAGGGTATGTTTTTTTTACTGATGGAAACCGAGGAACACCTACCTGGTTGTGTACTCTGTCTAGGATTGAATTCCTTGGGAGAGAAGAGCAGGAGGAATACTGGTCTGTTTATATCAGTGATTGCTCTTGTACTCCTAGAGAAATGGGGCAGAGGGAAGAGAGAACATAACACTTTGCTGCTACTAGTAAATCTAGAGCTTTAATTCTACCCTGTAAAAAACAAGTAGTAGTTACCTCTTGCAATTCTTCAGAGACTAAAACTTGATTAGCGGCCAAAATCTGACTTTTAAGCAGTCTCAATGGAACATGCTTTTGCACTGTGGCAAACCCTGGAAAGAGTGAGCCTTTTTTCCTTGTAGATAGCAGGTGGGCTGGCCATATTTCACTCTCACGATTACTTTAACTGTATATTTTGGTAGTAACAGCATTTATTAGACTTCTGTTATGCCGGGAAGGGAGAAAAGCTGTTGAGTTCTTAAGGTTGTAGTTTTATTGCAGGAAATTACTGGGTAATTTCAAACTACTATGGCACATTCAGTGATTTGCTTGCAGGAGTTTTTCCCTAATGTAAAAATTTAAATTGGACATCTCAGCCCTACCTGAAACTTTAAAGGTTTGTTTGCTGGTAATCTAAGCATGTCACGTTACTGCTCAAGCCTGTTGTAATCCTTCCCTTGGACGGTCAGCAAGTACAAAGGCTTTTCAGTCACTGCAGTGTGTGCAGCCTCTTCTGTACACCTTTCTGCACCTTGCTTTAGGTTGTCTTCACAGAACTCCTGTGGTAACGCAGCAGCTGTAGAGGGGATCTGTTCCAAATACTTCTAATTTTAAAATGGCAGGTGCAGGTGGGAACAAGATGAATCCAAACTGCATTTGAAATATTGTGGATAAATGTTAAGGGGCTTGCAAAGTACTAATTCCCTCTTTGTTCTGCAAGCTTTTTAGGACATATGGTATGAGTTTTCTTGACAGTGGGTATATCTGGCCAGTATTGCTACACATCGTGTGCCAGCATAGTGTCACAATTGTGAGAAGCTTGTCTTTCAACCATTTCAATACTGATCCATGCTATCAGTGTGACCATGGTGAGTGGAGCAGCAACATTGGAGGCTGAGACTAAAATACAATTCCAAGTTAGGGGATTGATCTTCTGAATGGAGATGAGTTTGTGAAGAGGGTTTTGGTCCAAAATTAGACTAGCTGTTCAAAGGACTCAAATAGGTGGTGGTTGAAAAAGAGATTATTCTAGACCATCTATTCATTGCATAATGACAGAGTTTTTCAGACTGTTTTATTTTAGTCAATTTTTTGTGTTTTATTTAATTCTTATCTTGTCTTTGCTGTCTGCTTTGTCCATGCTTGAGGAAGAAATGGAAGAAAATCTACCTAATGTGACAACATCTTACAGAGTACTAAGAATCCCATTAACTTGGGATAAAAAGCTAATTGCAGATATTCTGGGAGTGAACATCACTTACCTATATTCTATTGTGCTCAGGGTCAAAAGTTGAATGGAGCTTTTAGATCAGGAACTCACCTGTGTCCTGGTTAAGAAAATAATTACTGGAGTACTTTATAGTCAGTTAAATGTGTGTAGAGCTGTAAAGCAGCCATGTAGATGCTGGTGGTAAGGTGAACTGGAGGGAAATGGCTAGAAAGATCGTGTGGCTTGGTTTGCAATAAATGTTTATATGTGTGAAATATGCCACTCCAAACTGAATGAATTTCATATTTTGTAAATGAAGTACTTGCTAAATATGTGTTCTGAGTTAGGTTTATTTTAGGACCAACTGCACTGTACAAATAGGAATTGAAATTCAGAAATATGTACTTGTATTCTAATTTCTTACTTAAGCCAGTGCAGCTATTAGAAGAATGAACCTTGGCTTTGGGTGTTACATTAACTATATGTTGGTCTCATAGTAATATGTTGAGCTTGTTGAATTGGATATTTTTGTTAATTAGTAGTTTGATATTGACAATTAGAAATCAGAAACTACTTGTGTTGGAAGATCTTCCATTGAGATGTGGTGGAGAAATGTTTCCTTAGTCAGCTGCCACGATGGTATTTTGACTCATTTAAAGTTAGACAGAGAACTCCCAGTATAGATATGTGTTTTTCATCTTAATATGATGTTGAGTCTGTCCTGAACTCTCTCAGTTGAGCAATATGTGATTTTTTTTTTTCTATTTTCTTTTTTTAAAGTAGAGGAATGACACAAACCAGAAATTCCAGTTTCTGTTGACTTCTGTTGATTTCTGAGTAATTTCTTTGTGTAGGTATGTCTTTTCTGACCTGTGTATGTCCATAGGAGTAGCTCATGAAGGAGTACGGTATGTATTCTTAGGAGTTTAGTGGGCTGAGGGAAGTTAACATCTGTTAATGACATTTCAGGCTCAGGGCTGATTTTTTTTTTTCCTCTTCCCCCATCCCTTTTAGGTAATATACTTGAAGAAAACACCAGAAGAGGCTTACAGGACACTTCTGTCTGGATCTAATCCACCATATCTTCCATTTAGGTATGTGAACACAAGAAATGAGCCCAGCTTTTCTGTTTGGGATTTTGCTAAATAAATTTTTTTCAGATTGCCTTCCTAAAAAAGGGTTTTTTCTCTGATTCAGATATTGTATCAAAATGACTGATGTCCAGAAAAAATAATTTTTACATCTGGTGGTATTACTTGCTCTGTATTGTGATAATAAATCATTTAGATTGATATAAGTTTTAAGTAAGATTCCTAGTCTTGCAAACTGTCAGTTTTTTAAAATAGTTCTCAGCATGTTTGCAATTTAGCAATTAAACCTTTTCTTCATCATGTATCATGTTTTACTATTTGGAAGTCATTCAAATATTTTAAATTACTTAGTCTGTAAGTAGGTAGACTTAGAGGAATAAAGGGAGTTGTATGCTGTTGTATTTTCTCTTTTACAGAACAGGCACTGATATTCAAGTTATTAAATGTTTTCAGTTAATCATAGATAATTTCCATCAATCTGTCTTTATTCTCTGTACAAAGATCATATTGAGACCCAAATCTAGGGAGTTTTAGCTATCATGCCTATCTAATAAAGAGACTTCCAAATTTTTTTCATGGTGTGAACTATGCCGTTGTGCCTCATGAATGAGAATACCTCATGGTATTCCTATGCAAACACTGGCAATAAAAGTCAACTGCAAGAAGGTCAATATCCTCCTTTTCAGGGGAGTCAGCATTTTACAAGTAGTGTTCGCTGTCAGCCAGTGCATTTGTAAATGTAGGCCTACCTTGTCTGTATCAAATTCATCTGATTCTTCAGCCACTCAGCAGAGGAAGATCGGATTAGCTGTTCTCATACTTTGTATAGGAGCCAGATGCAGTGTAAACTGTTGGGATGGTAGATTTTATGTCAAGACCAGTTTGACTATGAAATCTTAAACCATCAAACACATGTTTTAAGGAGGTATTAAATCAGTGATAGCTTTTAATGGCAGAGAGCTTATACGTTAACCGGGTCCTTGATAGCTCTCCAAAGCCCAAGTAGTTCACCAAGCTAGTGGTATCCATATTTTTTCAGAGAATTATAAAAAATACTTGGTACAAGGCATAAGGAAGTCAGTTATTTTAAATGTCAATGTTTTTTAAGTTCTCCAAATTCTGTATAAAACACGGGGGGGTGATCTACGTTAGACAAAGAACAATGTCTTACACGTGCCTTAGCATTGCTTACCTGAGAGTGTGCTCCATTATCTTCCTAGGCATAAAGATGAGGCTCAGCAGCCTGTAGTTCTCTGGCTCTTCCTTTCTACCCTTTTCAAAAACAGGAGCAATGTTTCCCTTTTTCCAGTCACTGGGGATTTTGCCCCACTGCCATGACTTTTCAAATAGGATGGAGAGTGGCTTGGCAACAACAACAGCCAGTTCCCTTAGGACCCTGGGATACATCTCATCAGGCCCCACGGCTGAATAGCTGTATCTTGTTCACCAATTGAAGACATTTACTGTTTGGATTTACAGTAAATTGTCTTTAGGTTTTTCTCTCCCCTACCAAAGTAAAGATTAAGGTGTGTAAAAAGAATTTCTGACAAAGTGAAGAACTTTATTTGTCAGATCCCAAAACTGTAAGACAGAAAACTTTGAAGGAATACTGTGTTTGCCGAACAGTCTCATATGACCCTATTTGCTCAAACCAAAGGCTACAGATCCTTGCCTTGCAACTAATTCCTTATAATAATGATGTTGATAGTAGTAGTAATAATAAAGTCGCTGTTTCTGCTTGACTAGTAAGGAGTAATGAAAGTAATTGGCTCTGTGCTTTCTTGTGAAGCTAATAGGAACCACAGTAATAAACTTAATGACACAAAAAATTTCCTTTTAAGTGTTTTTAAATGATTATTCAAAGGAAATCCTCATGACTTTGGATTCATGAAATTCTATTTCAAAATAGAAGAGTTAGCTACTCCAGGGTCAGCAAAGAAGGCATCAAAAGTATAGAAGAAACGCAAAGATTTTCTGAAGATAACTTTATGTCATATACACAGAGCATTTTGTATTTTCCAGGGGAGAGCATACTAAATAAAAACATTGGAGAAGGCAATGTCCAGCAAAGGGACTACTTAGTCTTTGCTGTCTGGGTTGGCAAAATAATTACAAAATTATGATTGTTTCATTCCATTTGTCAGCTTTAGGAGAAGAGGGCAATAAATTTAGAGAGTAAGAAGTATTCTGAAATGGAATTCCTTTGCAGTCTTTGTCTGTGTATTTCAAACCCTAGGTTGTGTTGGCCAAAACTAAAGCACTTTTGACAGGTTGTGGGGTTTTTTGGTGGATTTTCTCTGGTGTGGATGAGTTTTGGTATTTGGGGTTTTCTTTGTTTTTTTAAACACAAAGCTTTGGCTATTTTAGAGGATGGGAGGGAGGCAATCTTCTTGAGCAGAGCCTGGCTGTTTCTAGAAGGAATGTAGTATTATGAGCTTTTGCTAGAAGAATTAAATGTCTTGATTTCTTGAGCATTCTCTCTTATATGGTGTGAGACTAGAAAGCACTTAAGTTTCTTTTGGATCTGCTTTGGACTACGTCAGATCTTGGCACTGGATAAGAGCCTAAGCAGATTCTATTACCTGCGGTGTAGTTTGTCCTCCTGGGGAAGATGAGTGTGTAACCAACCTGTACCAGAGGTGAGACAAAGAGGAGGGAGGAAATAAACTGAAGGATTATGACAAGATAGGAGGCTGGATAAGAAGTGGGATATCTGATAGGGAAGGGGTTATTTGGGATATTTGAACTCATAGGTAAAGTTTGGTATAGATGCATAAGGAGCTTAAGAGTTACTCAAACTGAGAGAAGGCCAAGTAGATCTGATGGTGTGCAGTGGGGCAATCTAGATTAGGAGGGAATGGAAAAGAAATAATTAATCCTCCTTCCTTGGTTTTCCAAGGCCTTTGAGGTATTTCCCCCTGTGTCCATTTCAGGACATTTGAGAATCTCTGTTGCAAAATATAGCGTAATACAGAGGCTCAAACAATTGAACCTGTACTGGAAGCAGTAGCTCTGCCTTAGGTAGTATATCTGCTTGACACCAGACTGTACTGTGAAGAAACAAGTTGGTCTGTGAAGGAAATAATTTGAGATGTTAATCACTGCGATTCAGTACTTACTGACGAGTTTGTTCTTGCAGCCTGGAACTTAGATATTATATAACTTCTGTAGTATAGATCAACTCTGTTTGAGTAGTTCAAGTGAAGAGTTTATCAGAGAGCAGTGATCAGTTAAGTGTTACAATTGGACTGTTTAACAAGTTTGTTAATTTGATATCTGAAGTGTCTTCTATTTGAAAAAAATAGGCAACTTTGAATAAGTAGAAGCTGCAGAATTGTCAGATTCTTTGTGGAGTACTGAGGTAAGTTTACATGAAGTGATCACTGGGAAACCGATCTACTTTCATCTAGCTCAGTGACCTCAAAAAGCCTTAATCGGCTTAGGTCTTCAGCTGGTATTTCATTTAAAGACAGCTTCAGCAAATATAGTTCAGAGGTGGAAGGAAATCAGAATAGCCCTCTTACAAGATACATGGAAATTTTGTTTAGTTTTTATGGTAGAAAAACTAAAGGTAACTCGAGAGGATGAGGCACACTGTATTTGAGACACTTTATTCTTATTTTTGGCTGATTCACTGTCACTTGGTGACGCTCTAGTTTCTTGAAGATCTTACACATATCTTCTCACTTCCATTTAAAAAGCAGTGCTAACACCAGTTAAAATTGTCGTAAATACCAGTTACGTAGTGTGAAACAGTTTCAAATTTTTACCTCAGTACAATACTACTCTGTATTGATTTTATGTTCAAGAGAAAAAACAAATATATTTTAATATTTTTATATTCAGTCTCTAAATAATGACGTGAATTTCAGAGTTAGATTTTAGTTTGTGGCTTTTGGGTTTGTTTCTTTATTGGCAAGTGCTGGGAAACAAATTGTTTTGTTATTGACAGCGCTTAGAGGTTTGGTGAAAGAGAAAGCATTATGCAGTATTGAGGTCAGCTGCAACAACTGTGAAATGGGATAGGGGATATGCAACTCTGTAATGCTAGCTCAGATTCGTACTGAATCTGTGTCTCCTAGAAATATTCACATTTTTCTCATTTTGAAAGCAGATAGAGTACTGTCAGGTAATAGCTGGTAAAACACTGCTTGAAAAACAAGGTGCTTATACATTTGACCATAAAAGACTAAAATAATACTGTAATAAAACGTGATCAGCAGCAAAAATCAGAGTGCTGCAAAGCAGCAGGAGATGTCTGTATGTGCTCTGTTGCATTATTCTGATATGAAATGAGGTTTTCCTTTTTCTTTTATGCTTTCTTAAACACAGACTTCTGAGTTGAACAAAGAGGTGTAAGATTTGAAGTGCAAGTTTCACTTAAATGTTTTTATACATGCCTATGTAGTCCCAGTGAGTTAAAAATGACTACTGTCTTAAATGTAAGCACATGCATTAGCTTTCTGTAAGATACTATGCTGACTGTGTACAGTGGACAAAGGAGTAGAAAAAGTTTAAATAGGAGGGATGTCTGGAATTAATTTTAATTTAATCTAGAATATGTTTCTTTAAGATTGGTAAAGGTATTTTTTCTTTACAGTGCTCTTCCTCATGACTGTTAGTCCTTGCATTTGGTTTTACTGTGTAACAAAGTGTGACCCATTCAGAACCTATTGCATTTTATGCAAGCTAAGATCAGTATTATTAAGTATTGCTCTAAAACTTTGGGGATATGTCTGTCATTCTTAGAAAGAAAATGCATGCTCGTGGATCTAGCGCTATGTAATTGACTTCTCAAGCCAAAGTGGTATGACAATAGCTGTATTTCTAACACAGTTTTAGTAAAGGTTAGTACTAGTTCTGACAGTATCCAATGTTTTTATCCATGGTTTAGAAATTTGTACAAAATCAGTAGGAAGGCAGGTTGGCTCAAATTAGTTAAATTAAACTAACTGCTCTGCATTAGCTTTTAATTATTTTGTTTTCTTCAGTAAATACATTTATCCAGGAGGATTCAAAAAACAGGTTTAAATTTGGGGGTTTTATTTATGAAGCTTTTTAATGATTTCACATGACTTCTGACTGATTTCTCTGGGATAGAAAAAGAATGTGATAACCCAGCCTCGGCCTGGAGGAAGTCACCTAGGTAACTGGGGGGAGATTTGTTTTGATTTTCCTTGTAACAAATAAAGTATCAAAACAATTAGTGACTTAAAATACCTTAGCCAACTCCCTCTAAAGAAAAAGATATTTTACTTGAGTAATTTATTTAAAACATTCAGGAATTCAGGTCACAGTAAACTCTTTACCTTTTGAGTTTTTCATGGCCTTTCTTGACATGTAGTCAGCAGTAAGATTGGCATTGTGCATCTGTCCTCTCTCACATTTCTGCAAAATACTTTTTGGCTAAATTGTAAAGAAATACTGATGCTTCTCTGGAATAATGTGAAATCATCTTTTTTGATAGGAAGATTGAGTATTAAAAGATGTCACTTCATAAACATACTGTGACTTTTTGTCATAAATAAACTACTTTTTTTAAACATTGTTTTAATATCTAAAACAACTCTGTAAAGTGTAAGCGTAAAGTGTATTTGTTCTGAAACTTGTAAAATGGGTTTCATCTCCTAATACTGAATCTACAAGCACTTGCCTTACCTGTACTTCAGATATTGCTGTACTGTGTCAATAGATCCAGCATGCAGAGTCCTCATGGATTATGTGTACAACTTCTGCCAGATTAATTTCTTTGTTCTTAAACCTAAAATGTAATACCTACAGATAGTTTGGTTTAATATTCTGGAGCATAAAACAGTAAAGTTTCAGAAAGTTTTGCATGTGGAATTGATTCTAATCAGCCAACTGTACTTTTGGAAACTAGAGAAGAAAATATGTATGTATATGTATTCCTGGATTTACTCCGAAAAGGATTGGGAGTGCTAAAATAAAAATGACTGTGGCTTTAAAGAAAAAAAGTTGCATAGATTTTGTTCTATTATCTTGTTCTCCAAATTAGGATACAAGGAACTTTTATGATTTGCTTGTGTTTTCTTACCAGAAGATAGTTGAGGGACAGAGCAGGAGAGAGAGATTATGGCAAGGTCTAATATGATATGCTCAGTACTTGCCCTGGTTCATCAAACACCATGATGCCCTTGAAGCCTTAGGTAATATAAGCCACTGCTTCTGGGTGTTGTTTCACTGCCACCTTGCACTGTTGTTCATACCTGTTGCTTATGTTTTCATTACGTTATTGCATTCTGCCATGAAGGATAGATGGGGGTGTGAGTTTTTGAGATGTCAACTCTTTAAAAAAACATTAGAATACTGCTATTCTTTGAGTTTCTGGAAAATTGGGATTAGGTTTAAACAACTTTTTATTTGGCCATTCCAAAACTTTGACTCTTTGGAATTTTCCTAGCTTTCAGTCTTCCTACTGTTTCACTGTGTGTGGATGGCAGGTGTCAGTTGGAGCACACCTACTTTAATGATTAGGTGCACACCAGCAGAAATGAGACGTGAGACATGGATGGTGGAGGCAATCCATGTCAGCACCATCCCTGTGCACGTCACTGGTAATAGCTGTCTGTGGGAACTGGAGCTAGGAGTTCTGTTCACCTGGAATTGTGATAGGCTTATCTTGTACATCTAGGTCAAGTTCATTGTTCTCTCTCCCTCTCTCATAGTATTTCTTATTAATGGATTAGAGATTATGTGGCCTTTTCCCTCAGTATTGTTTTCCTGTACTGCACTATCAGATGCCTCATCAGTCAAAGAAGTAGTTATATACATACAGATAAAATATAACTTGTACTTTTGTTATAGCAAAATAACATGTAAAATAGAACATCTGCTATGATCATATCTTCCATTCATATTTCTCTAAATATTTAATGGGTTTGGATTTTATTTTTGTCAGCCCTTCAGAAAACCAGTACAGCTTTTAAAAACTTTCTGCTCTGTACGTGTTTCCAATGGGTCCTTCAGTTTTTTTGCTCAGAAGACTTTTTTTGTTTGCTAAAATGCTTTTGTGCTAAAGTGATCTGTTATCTGCTTTTACTTTGTCAAAAATGTATTGTCTGTAAAGTTCATATTTTGCTGCTTTTATATGTTCTGCTTTATCTAGTGTAATGAAAATACTGGGTTCTCATTTTTTAAACCTTTCCTGTTGGATTTGGATATGGAAAGTTTATACACACTTAAAAGTTCCCTTTCCAAAACATTGTGCTTTAATAATCTAATTATTCAAAAGCTTTTCTAGAGTAGCCTGCCTGTAATATGACACTGCCAAAGATACAGCTTTTCATTTTCTTAAAAACATTTTCTATGAACATTGCTTGTTCAAAACTGCTATACTTATTCCACTCTTAAAGAATAGGTGAGAATATTCTGCCCTTAAAGTACTTGAGGTTGAAGAAGCATATCAGTATAACAAACTTCATACTACTTATAGCAAGTTTTCAATGAAAGATTGAAATTTTGAATCAATTATAGATTAAATATGTATTTGGGTGAAATGTAAAATTTTGCAATTCTGATAAATTGCAGTTCTTAGGACTCTCTCTAAGATAGCTTAGAGCAAAGCTATAAAAGACTTCTTTAATGAGTGATAAGGAAATAATCTGCTCAGGAAGAATTTGTTAAAATCGAACTGGTCTGAAAAAGTACTTTTTCATTTTTCCACAATGCATTTTTTGGTGGTTGGTATGGGTTTTTTTTAATGTTGGCGTCTCTTACCACTTGAACATGTTTTGATTTGGAGTCTCATTTCATCTTCTAAAGACAAATTGTAATTTTCATAGTGGTAGAACTGAGGTTAAGTAATTTTAAATTTAATTATATCTGGATAACTTTGAATCACATCTGTAATCAGGCATCAAAACGAAGGCCTACAAATTAATTCCAAACTAGTAGTCTGTTTGGTTGTCCCTGTTAGACAGTGTAACTCCATTAAGACTTGAATAACGGTTAAAGCAAGCTTTGCTTTATTTGCTGCTGTCATTATACAATTGAGAGGATGCAACGCTTCCTGTTCCAATATAGTATAAATGATTTGGTAAAGGGCATGTAGTTAGCTGATGTAAAATATGCACTCAAAATTACGTGCAGTATCTAACTGCACTTACTCTGAGCTGTGTCTTGGGAAGGGGAGTTCTTTAGCATGAACAAGCTTCTAAAAAGATGTCTTCTCAGGCTTTGAATTCAGAGTTCTCAGAGGGAATTGAATAGCTGGAATGTATTCTGTTGTGTGCTGCCTTTCCCCAAGTTCCTAAAATAATTCTGTGTATATTAAATTCATTTGTATTAAATCTATAGGGATGCTTCATTTGGAAACTGCACGTACAATCTTACCATCTTGGACTGTTTACAGGGAGTAAATAAGGTAATAACATTTTTCCTTAGCAAAACAGGTTTAAATTGATTTTTAAATCATGAGGGAAAATACTGTTAAAATAGCTTAGAAAATCTGGTCTCAAAAGGTCTGTGAATGAGTAGTACGCTCTCATGAAGCCTGAGGTACTGAGGACTGTGTTTGAGTAGAGCCAGTGGAGGAAAGTTACACTTCTACTGGCTGGCCTAGCCTTTGACAGCTTTTTGAACTTCACCTCATGACTTGGAACATGCAAATGCACCAGGCCTGGCTGGAGGCAGCTTTTGACAATGCAAGGCACTGTGCTAGACCTGCTAATAGATCATTTATAACCATGGGGAAGAGGGAATAACAGGTGGATAAAGTCAAGTGATACAGAATACACAGGTATACTGTGACTTAATCTGAGCAGTTTTTGCATGTACCTGGCCCAAACTTTCCCCCAAAACACTTGGTTCAGTGTTCAATGCTAATCTTTTCAGAATTGTTTAAAAACAATTAAAACTAAGGTATCTTACTGGTGGTTTGATGTCTCACTTTCAATAGTCCTAGGCAATATTAAGCTCCAGTATTGCTTTTTTAAAAAATGTTACCTCACATCTTACTTGTCAGCCTTTAAATTTTGTTCATCGTTTCCCATTGATCTTGATGAAGGGAGCAGGCTATAGGAGCAGTTCTGTACGGACACTTTATAGACCATTTGTAATCCTTAAAAGTATGGCAAAACAAGTGTTTTTAAAAATTGAAAAAAGATCAAGCTTAATATTTTTAGTTCTGTGGGGGTGGGAGAGGAGCTGTCAGTTAACAGCAAGACTGTAATTTGTGAGGCATTCTACGGATCCTGAAGCTCTGAAGTAGTCAGTGCAGTCATTGTAATTTATCTGCAACAAATACATCAAAAGGACTGTGAGAATCAGTTTTCCTCCTTTGTTACCATAAAATTTATTACTGAATTTTTGTCCAGTTCACTTACAGAGGAAAAAATACTTCAAGCAGAAACCCTATGCCTTAATTTAAAGTAGTCTTACCTGGATAAATTTGGTGTTCCTGTGCATGTACATCATATCCATGTAATTCAGGAGGCCTGCAAGTTCTGGAGTGCAGCCAGCCAGCCATGCTTAAATGAAATACATTTCTCAAAATCAGCTGTTCAGACAAACCTCTCAGTATCTTAGGTTTCATGACAGTCCAGTCACTGAGCCTGTGTTTTCTATAACAAAGCTAGCTGTGATTTTTGTTTTGTCCTAAAAAGGTGCTCTATATGTAGCAAATAATAGCAGTCTGATGATTATTTTTTCTAAATCATAGATCTGTGATGTTTTTTTATCACACTTTAATCCCAGAATGTTGTGTAATATCTACACTTCTCAGAATGGAATAGATTCAGTATAAATACATGCCTTCTGCCTATTCTTTGAAATAAATTTGCACTATGAATTCTATATTCATAGAATTGTTTTCAATATAGTATTATACACAAATCTTCAGTACAAAATTGGCATATTTAATAATGGTACAGTAATCAAATACAAAACTTCTTTCAGTCCTGTAATAAACACTGTCTAATGTAGTCTAGTGAACTTTATCTGTGTATTAAAAGAAGTAATAAAATACAGGTTATGCATGGTACTGTATTCTGTACATGCCATTTTGCCTAGGTATTATGGTGATAAAACCAGTGTATCATATAAAGTATGGAAAGTGAATAAACTCTCAACGTACTCAATGTTTTATGTCCAACTGCATGAAAATACATTCAAGCATAGAAGTCATTGAATGAGTGTATGACAAAAAGGGAATTGCTTTTTACTTGTCATCTGCAATACAGAAAAAAATCACACATGGTGGGGTGGGGAGAATCAGTTTTATAATTTAAGTGATATGCAACAACTTTGTGTCCCATCATAATGTCTTTGAAGGGGAGATAATGAATCTAACATGTTTCAGTGACATTGTTGGAGTTTTTGTTGTCTGTGTTGTTAATCTGTGCAAAATGTAATGTTGTCTTAACAAAAAGGCTTCAATAAACATAAACATCTAGGGATTTAGTTCTGATTCTCAAAATAGTATTTTAAATGAAATTATATATCCTATTTCAGTATAAACTGACACCTTGTTGCCTTTTAGGCTTTGCAGCATGGATTTTTTGACTTTAAGACATTTGATGTGGAGGAATATGAACACTATGAGGTTTGTACATTTAATAATGAGTTGAATGTGTTTGGTTTACCTAAAATAAGAGTACACAGTATCCCACAACTTAAAACATACTGGAAACACATTTTAATTCAAGTAAAACCCAGTGTTCATATGTAAGGTATGTACATTGAAACATGTATGCTCTGTGTGAAAAACACGCAGCATTAATATCCTTGCAATTTCAGTGCTTCACATAATAAATCTACCCTTTTCTCACAGCCTTTCTGGCTTCTGGGATGTCTTTCATGCTTTCCCAGCCTTCCCCCAGGATCCGATCCAAAGTTTCTCAGCTCACTCACAGAATATGTGTTTTCTTTCAGCACTTGTTAGCTGCTTCTTGTGTTCCTGTTAGTCCCAAATATATGTCAAATTTTTTTTCATTCCCACATAGATTAAGGACATTTTGAACTTTTTTTTTTTAGTAAAGGAGGCATTATATGGAGATTCTAATAATGGAAATACATACAAAATATTTCCTGATGAAGTCCCAGAAAGCTAACAGATGTCATGCATTGTTCTGCCAACCATTTTACAGCTTAAGTGTAGACAAACTCTGGTTGTCTCTGGATGCTTCTAGGGCTTTGTAACACACACACCTTTATCTGCTGGAAGAAGAAAGTTATTTCAAGCTACATTGCCCTAGAGAAGCTTTAAAATATGCCTGTGCTGTACCTGTGAATTGGGCTGTGTACAGAGGAAATTTCAGGCACAGAAGGTGTATGTACATATGGTCCAGAACAGTTGTATTGGACCTCATCTTTGGAACTCTCCTAAATTCCTGAAATTGTATTGGTTAAGCAGAAAGAAATATATTCAAATATTTAGTATACCTCTCGTTTATATATTAAACTCTCTGGTTTCTTATACGTGTGTTACTTTACTGTAGCCAGTATTCTTCTGCTATTCTTCCCCTCTATTGCAATTTTCAGAAAACTTGAGAATAGAGTTGCTCAGTCTGAAAGCATCCATTTTAAGAGCATTTCCTATAGCTGTATGTATTTCAGATACATACTGAAATACCTCCTGAATGTTGAAGACAGTGAAGGCAGAAGAGGAATAAACAGTGGGAAAACTTAATTGATAGCACAAATCTGTACAGTATCTGTTGTTTGCAATCAACAGTCTATAACAGAGAGCTATTCACAATACTAGAAAGCATTTGTAGGATTTCTCTATCCTGTAATGTTTCACAATGATTAGGTTGAGAAATTGGTGTAGCCTTTGCTGAATTACCAAAATTAAATGAACAGGAACAAAAATTTAAAGTATTGCTGCTTTTTTTGCTTAATCTATGTACAAAAGGAAAAGGCCCGTTCTAGAAATCAATGGTACTTGGGAATTATTAGGGTTCTGTCTATGAGGTAGGTGTTAGTCAGCCTCAAAAAAAGTATTAAAATAATTGACTAAAGGTATTCCATTATCTTGTTTAATGCTTAACACCATTTTAGTTTGTGAAAAGTACATGTGTGTGAATGATGTTTACAGTATGCTGCTTACTGAGTTTAAGAAGCAAGAACTTGGAATCATCTTCAGTTTTTTGTCCATTTTTTGGTATGTCTTCTCTTTTTTTACACATCATGGTCAGCTTTATGTGTAGATATGTCCTGTGCTATATTTCAAAAACTTTAAGTGTTCCAGGTTTTTGCTATATTAGGTCTTCAAATGTGTGGTTATGTGGAGAAAAGTTGCATACGACTTAAATGGAGCAGGCTAAAGGAAATTTTATTTCATGTTTGTAGTTCTTTTATCTTACTATAAAGACAGCTAATTCCCCTTTTGTTGGACTGGATGTAAATTACTGAAGTTCTTAATTTTTTGAGTAATAACGTTGTTTGCACATACATAAATTTTAAGCAATATGAACTACAGCTATCTAAGTGATTCGCAATAACCCCTGTAACTATAAAGAATTACTTAATTCACAAATAAAACTGGTAATACAAATACAGAAATACTTCTAACGTACTGAACAGGGCTTCTTCCCTAAAGGGAGTAAAGGTGCTCCAGTGTTGAGTTTGTGGTCTGTGACACAGACCGGGGGGGTGCGGGGTCCTGGCTTGGCAGCGAGGTTGGCTCACTAGTGCTTATGCAACCCCTGTGTGAGGACATTTGGAGCAAGCCTAATGCGTGCAGCTAAGCCAACAGTTGGTGAATTGATTACAGTGATGTCCATTATCAGAACCTTTCACTCATTAGGATGTTTTGATGAGCCGAGAGCTAAAAACACGAGCTTAATAATGCAGTTGAACTGAGTGCCATGTCCTTAAAAGTCATGCTGAGAATAACTGCACTGCCAAATGAGGAATGAGCAGTCTTCAATTAAAAAAAGAAAAGAAGGCAGTTCTGAACTATGGTTCATGTTACGTATTTCCAAAGAAGCTTTCATTTTTAGCACTGACAGAATTTGAAGAGCCTTTTCAAAGTTTTTATGTAAATGTGAGCAAGAAATGCAAAATGTCACAGTTTGAAAGTTTTTTAGAATTTAATCTTTTTATTTGTTTTATACTTTTCTTTGATTACTGGCTCATCAGAGCTTATGCCAATATGTAAATTTCAGTTTCTACAGGGAAAAGATAATTCTTTTGGAGGCTAATTGGTTTTTAATTTGTTTTCTGTGATTTGGGTTTTTTAGCCAGTGCCTTACAGAGAAGCATTTTTCCATAGTCTTTGATTAAAACATAGAAAAATGTCGGTTTGTCAGTGTTGATATTAATAGGTATCCTAAAACACTGAACACTCTAAAGGAGAAATCTTAGATAAAGGACATGTCAGCTGTTATTGGAAAACTTCAGCAAGTTTTGTTTCCATTTTATTTTATTAAGAGATTTCTGAGAAGCAGCTTATGGTTAGTTTTTCCCACATAGGTAAGCTAGCTAATTACATTTGAAGCATTTTGTTTTAATGCAGCAAGAACACAGTAAAAAATAAAATAAAAGAATGAGTAATTTTTTTAACCTTGTATAATCAGATATTAAAATGCTTCCCTCTTTCTCTTCTGAAATTTTTGTAGCGAGTGGAAAATGGTGACTTCAACTGGATTATTCCGGGAAAATTTTTGGCTTTTAGTGGACCACACCCAAAAAGCAAACTTGAAAATGGTATGGTGTATGTTTTAATGATACTCTATGATCTTTTTTTTCCAGCATGTTGAATTGTCACAGCAAATGAGAAGATAAAGAAGTTTATAGATCAGTTTTAATCTTGAGAAATAATCATTCAGTGAGAATTTTATATATGATCATAGAACTTAATTCAAAAGGTTTTGGAATTTTTGCTAGAAGAGTTTTAATTCTTCTATCAGTCAGTGACTTTCATTCTGTATCAAAGTGCCTGAGAAACTTTGGTCCCTTAATTTTCTCCTGGAACCTGGAGACAGTAAATATGATACAGTAAATACGCAGAATTAAAGGTGAGTTGCATAAAGCACAGAAGACTGTTAAGATGTTTGTGACAAAAACCAGGAAAGACTTTAAAAAGAAGCTTGCCTTTATCACTGAAGAACTATTTACAACATGCGTACTGAAAATTGCTAAATTAGCACTAACACTTAAAATCCAGTTGTGAAACTCTAAATAAGCCTCACCCAGGTGAGTGTAAATGCACATTACAAACCTACATTTTTCTCATTATGTTGAGATTCTGATTGCATTTGTTAATGCATATATGACTTATCCTAAGCAGCTGTGTTGTGGCTGGTGTTTGACCTCCCTCCCTGTGCCCCCATCTTCATCTAGAGGATCCTTTTGTCTCTCAACAGAGAATCAAGGCGATAAAGCTTTTTTACTTCACCGTAGGGCAAGAACATCTTTAGTGCTGCAGTTTATTCTTTGACTCGTTTGTTCTTTAACTCTTTCCTCTCATCTGTAATAGAGATCAGCACTCTATTTTCCTCATAAACAGTGTTTCCTCTTAAAGCGTGTTTTTATTCTTTCATCTGCAGCTTGACTGTCTATCTATATATAGACAGCTGTTCTGAAATGCTGAGTTCATATATGTGCCTAGCTTTATGTATAGAACCCTCCTTGCAGAGGGGAGTGGGGAGTAAACAGGAATCAGCACAGTGTTTCACACATACTGTGCTTTAACATTCTTCCTCCTGATACTTTTTTAATAATAGTGGTCTTCATGAGCATTTTTTGACAATTTTTATATTGTTTAACATGTTTATTTTGAATAAAATATTAAACCATTTTTAGTATTAATGTTTATCATTCAAGAAAGGTTTGGGGGGCAATTTTCACTGGTAGGGCTTTGAACTTTATCTATGATGTTCATTAATTGTGGCTTTCTTTTTTTATAGGTTATCCCCTTCATGCACCTGAAGCCTACTTTCCCTATTTCAAGAAACATAACGTCACATCAATCATAAGACTAAACAAAAAAATTTATGAGGCAAAACGCTTTACTGATGCTGGTTTCGAGCATTATGACCTGTTCTTCATAGATGGAAGCACACCAAGTGACAGTATAGTTCAGAGGTTCCTGACCATCTGTGAAAATGCTGACGGTGCCATTGCTGTACATTGTAAAGGTGTGGGCACTTACTTCTCAGATCAAAGTTCAAAATATCTATAAATCCATAGAGTTTATCCAGAAATAAAGCATTTAACAAATAACACTTTCTGGATGTGAAAGTAATGTTGCTTTATGATACTTGACTAAATATATGCCAAATATTTGTTATTTTCATGTGTATATTAAGTTCTTTCATCCTACACTGTTACTTTCAGCAACTGACAGTCTGTTGTTCATTGTTCAGTTTTTTCTTAATATCACTTGAAAACATGAGATTTAGTTGATGCAGGTTTCTCTTTTGCATTATGCTTTTACAGCATTATGATAATTGGCTAGGAAATGTAAAAGACTAAAAGGTTTTCTTTGTGCTTTTGGACTATTCTACATTTTTCTGTTGAGTACGAATTCCACATTTCAATTTGAGTTATTGTGATGCTAGCATTTCAAACCAGCCTAATTCAGCAAATCAGCCCGAAAATACACAAAATATGCTTAGAACAAAGGCTTTGAAGGGTTCAGCTTGATTTATGTTTAGTGTTGTGTAAAGACATTGTGGAGACGAATGTCTTGCCGATCAGAAGCAAGAATGATGCTATTCATAATTTTCCTATGAACAATAAACATGCATATCAAAGATAAATGCTTTATTTGCTAACAAGTTGTTATGGTCGCTAGAACCCAGAAATTCTGGCATTAATAAGCTGGACATCTGCTATTGGGCTAAATGAGAGTATAAATTATTGATTAGCAGGAGTACGTTATTCTCCAGGTTTGGTTGCTAAAGGAATATAACATAATTTCTATTGAGATACACATGTGCTTTCTAAACTGAAGTATTTTTGGTCTTTTGTCTGACCATTTAATAAGCAAACCAATGATCTTATTCTTTTTAGTTTTTTACAGCCTTCTAGATAAGCCTATACAAAGTTGAATCAACAGCTAAGTCAGACCTTACTCAGATGTAATATATTGCAGAGATATTCCAAGCACAGCTTTCCAACTAGAAATTGGTTGTCCCAAAAGTTATAGAAAAGTTCAATGCAAAGGATTATAATGGAAAGTTTGTACATTAGCAGGAAGTTAAAGAACAGAACTGAAATCGATACTTCCTCTTTTAAATGATTCTTCAGATCTTGTCTCCCAGTATACAGTTACAGAACCTCAGTTTGTGAACTTCTGCCCTCATCCTTTTACCTTGGTCATCTTCACTTTCAAAAAAGGGCAGGATTTAGTTATTGGTTAAATGTAAGGAGCTCATAGTTGTGTATGGAATTATCAGCAGATGTTTATCTGCTTAGGGAGTTTCCATGTGGATTGTTGTTGGTGCATAAACAACAGCCACCACGAGACTGCAAATTGCCAATACTGTACTTGGGGGAAAATAAGGTTTAAATGGGGTGATGCTTTACTAGTCAACAAGACACAGGGCTAGAAAGAGACTAATCCTCACTCTATAGTTAGAGATTTTGCTGGTAGTAAAGCTAGTTTTTCTGTCTCTCTGTTCTCCCCTTAAAACAAGGATTAGTTTGTGATTGGGGGGCAGTGGGTTAAATTATTTTAAGCTATTGATATCTAATATTATGTGCTGGTCAACATTCATTGTTCTTTATATAGATAGCGGTGAATAGTTTTTTGAATAAGTTTTGTTGGTTTCACAACAAAACTTTTTCAAAAAGAAAAAGCCACTGGCTCAGAAGACACATGCTCTCTGTGATGTGCATGTGTATTTGCACCGTGATTTTTAAGTATGTGTGCTGGCCTCTCAAAGGTACTTTGATTGTGGTTTTTTACTGGTTTTATAAATATGAAGTTGGTATTCAGCTTGATCACAACTCTTTTTAAAAAATATCAGCCTTTTTTTAAACAAAATATGAAGTAGAATTGAGTGGCACAAGTGATTGCTGTTGCATGCATTCTTCTAAGCACTGTTTATTTTTTGTAAGAATGAAATGGTTGTTCTTATATCTACAGCACTGCAATCCAATTATGTGATAAAGGGGATACTGAATCACAATTTTTTTCTTCAAATACTAAGATGGTGAATAACATCGCATAGAAGTCTTCTTACATCCCATACTTTTATTTGATAATTATGAAATGCTCACTACTGACTGTTGATACTTGTGTTTCTGTAGCTGGCCTGGGGAGAACAGGAACGCTGATTGCCTGTTACATCATGAAACACTACAAGTTCACACATGCTGAAGCCATTGCTTGGATAAGAATATGTCGACCAGGCTCTATTATAGGACCCCAGCAACACTTCTTGGAAGAGTACGTATATACGCACCTTCTTTGCTAATAAGAATCAGCTGCTTCTCTACATTGTTTTCCATCTTGCATTATTTATAGGATCTGCTTTGTCTACTGACATTTGCATATTACTGTCTGTTCAATATATTTAAGGTTAGTTAATATGGGATTGAAATCTAACTTACTCAGAAGCCAGCAGCTCCTCTGGAGCGCTGTGCACTCTGTCCCCTTAAGGGCCACACGATCTCAAGACTCTGCATGTTTGTTTCTCAGGACTTTAGGAGTTACACAAGTTTGTTGGAAGTGGACAGATGTGGACAAAAGATTAAGTCAACAAATAGGATTTATTAGAGTATTAACAAAGGAAGAATAGACTTTATATGTAGTCTGTGACTTAAAATGAATCTTAAAATGGTATCATTGATATGTTATTTTCTTTCTTGTAACTAAAGATTAAATAAGTTCTTGGTGGAGAGCTTATGATCTCTGACAGATTCCTTAGCATAATGTATGAAACATTTCTGATTTGAATCTAATAGTTGTCAGCAAAACAAATGTATGGTTTTAATACAGCTTCAGATTTGATCTTGACTGGCAGTGAGTGACGATATAGACACTAAGTTTAATGTCATAGTGGTTTCTGCATTGTGCATTTACTATTACAGTGGTTATGCTGCTGTTTTTGAGCTGATACCCTGAAAATACTTACTTGGAGGCATTTTCCCTGTTATGAGAGAAAACAGTTTAAGAAAACCCACTACAAATTTGTCTCTTTGGAAAAGAGAGAATTCAACAGCTCTGTCTGAATACAGTCAAAGATGCACCAACTTTGCATCTTAAAATCAATAGGATATCAGAGAAAGAAGTATTACTGTAATGGATAAGAGAAATCGAGCAGGAATAGGGATTTTTATTTATTATCCAATGAATGGGCACTCCTGTATTTGAGAGGTGGCTTGCTGTTATTCAGAATACTGTGAATCACAAACTTTCACAAACTACAAGTGTTCACTGGAGGCAGAATAGTCGTCTTCACACTGTGCTGATGCTTGGATGATGGTACATTGTTAAAAATACCTTGCACAATAGAGCAAAATTATGAGGAAAGGTAATAGATAATGTGATTAGTAAGTGCTGTTTACTTATAAGAAAAACAAGGTCCATGTCTTTTCTTGGTTTGATGGATTGAATATTTGGTTTGATTTTATAGATAGGCAAAGATACTTCAGATTTGTTTCAGTTATACTTATATTACTCATAGCTAAGAGCTGTAGCATTGTTCAGTAAGAATTTTCTAATGTCCTAAGGGTAGTAGATAACTGTTTCAACAATCAGACAAAATTCAAGCAATGTCACCAGTAACGTCAAAATGGGATTGGGAAGAAACATCAGTTCCATCATTCTAATATAAAATATCTTGCCCTCAGGGCTGCAAAGTCTCATCTGACAAAAAGGTAAACCCTTTCAGCTTTGATCTCCCAAACTTCATAGATGTCAAAGCTTCATCTCTTAGGTTCTTTGAGGTTTAATAAAAGGGGTAGTTCGGGGGTTTTTCTGTAGAAACACTTCCACCCAAGTATGTATCAAATCAGTTTGTTACTCTGAATGCAATTAATCTTGAAAGATTTCCAAGGTATTTAATTCAAGCATGTTTTCTAGGCTACCTTTAAAATGTAATTGCAAATTCCTGTTTAGTTAATCTCTTTTCCCAGAAGGATTTTGTAAAATGAAGTTATTCCACCTAGGAATGAAGTTTTAGTACTTATAATATTTTTGTGATGACTACAGACTTGTTTGGTGATTCCGGGGGTTTTTGGTTGTTATTTTTAACCATAATTTTGCTGGGGTTTTTTTGGTTTTGGTTTGGGGTTTTTTTGGGGTTTTTTTTTATTTGTAATAGACATTCAAATTTTTTTTCAGATGAAGATGTATGGAAGGTGCAAATGTTGGCAATCTGTAAGAGTAGCATGTTTTCATATTGGTTTTTTATATTTACGAAAATTTGTTGATATGAATGGATTTGGTTTTCTATCCTGAAGGAAGCAAGCAATGTTATGGCTGGAGGGAGATCACATCCGATCAAAGCAGAAACAGCGAGTAGTTGATGAAAACATTAACAGAGTCCTTTGTGGCTTGAATGACATTTCCATCAGTGACAGCCTAAATAAAGTACAAGACTTGGATCAATACAGGGAGGTAAGTGTTCTTAGGAAAAATTCCAAACAGACTGAAGCTGAGCTTTTAATAACTAGCTGTAGATAATTTTTAGATTTTTGGGGTTTAGGGTTTTATTAGTATTAGATTGCTTTTTCTCAGATAAATTTTTTTTAGTTCGTAATTAGAAAAAAGATCAGGTAATATTTAAAATTGTCATAGGTGATTTTGCAAACTCAAAAGGTTTGCATTATTTCAAGTCATTCTTTCAGGGATTTCCGTTCTTTGAGAATGAAGGAAAACAAAAAATCAGCTTTTGTTCCTATTAGTTAAAAACTTATTCCAAGTTGCTAATTAAGAATGCATCAGTGTATAAACACCCATCCCTTTATCACTGTATTATGCATGGATGAGGTGATGTGCACGTTTAGGGTAAGGACCTTATGACGACTTTCTGGGAGCACAGGCATTAAGTCTTAACTAAAGTGAAAATACTTTTGTTTCTGGAATAGTAAAAATTTTAAACTGTATTTTCCTACACTATCTATAAGAAACAGTTTAGAGAAACTATGCGTTTGCTTAATCCCTTCTCAGCTCTGTAATAACTAAAGAGGTTTTAGGTTGCTGATGGAACTCTTTGCTTGATGTGAAAGACCAGGGATATAGTGAGCACTTTCTTCATATAATTATTAGTATAAATTAAAATAATCATCTGTCATAATCTGGAAGAGCATCTTGAATCGATTTCTGTACAGGTACTGTTTCCCTGTATTTCACTTTTTTACAGATGTCATATTAAAGTTGTTCAGCATTCAGTTTTCAAAACATTTGACTTATCTCATTATCTCTTTGGATATCTGGTTATATCTCAAGGCCTCATTAAAATAGGGCTCTCTAGAAGCTCAAAACAAAGTAATGTTCCCAGTCCCAAAAATGCATGAGGTCAAAGAATCAGAAAAGGGGGCAGCTACATGCAGTAACTGTAGGGCAGGTAAAGACTGTGAAACAAAATTTATCAGCATGTTGATTTATCAGGCTGAATGATAGGTAACAATGGCCTAGCATATAATCTCCAATGAAATCTAGCTAAGATATTTGTATTTTCCTATAATTAATGCAACAGTTAGACCATCACATCATTTTATCAACTTCTATCATATTACTACTTCTGTCAATCTTTTATGTTGGTTAATGGCATAAACTATTGTTCTGTTTTATGCAAAGCACTGAGTTCCCTTAGGCACAATAGGAACTGTGGTAAAAATACTTGATCTAGGGTCAAATGAAGCATAATTGGTATTATTGTATTTTGAGATGAATCTGAAATTGTAAATAGGCATTTAAACAGTGTTGGTATACACTTTTAATATTTCTTAGTTTTTAGTGTTTTCTAAAGCTAGAAGAAATAGGATAAAACTCTGAAATCTGTTCATTCTATATTCCTTATTAAGTTCACATAGGAAATTTTTTTTGAAAACTCATTTTTCTAGAGATCATGACAACTTTTACTTGTTTATTTGTTAAATGTAGTAATTTAGTAAAGTTGATTTTTAGTGCCTCTTGCAGGACACAGCTTCATCTAAATTTCTTCCTCATTTGTGCATAACAAAATTTTGTGTTACTGCTTTCCTTCCGTGCTGATGATAACTTTAAAAGTAGTTATGGACAAAGTAGTTGAGGTTTATGTTTTACAAAACCAGACTGCTTTGAAGTAAATAAATGCTGACATTAGACTTGAGCATCCTGAACTGACTTTGAGGTCAGATTCTGCACAAATCCTCTGTGAGTGTGTGTTTGTACAGTGACGCATTTAATCTGCTGGAGCTCTGCGAAGAGTAGTGCCGATGTATGCACAGAATGGTTGATTAGTCTTTTAGATTTTAATCTTCTTGAAGGAGATGTTCAGTTCTTTGAAACTACACTGCTCCAAAGGATTTGATATATTCTCTTGCTTCTATCCTTTTGTGTTTCCCAGAATGATTTTGAAGACAAAGCAGATGTGGAAACTCAGAATGGCATGACACAGGGAGATAAGCTCAATGCCTTAAAAAGTCGGAGACGGCCTTGTTCTGCTACAACTGGAGCTCTGAGGTAATTAAGTCATTCTGAGGTAATTTGCAATTTTAGATTCTGTCCGTGCTATCAGATCTGTGTGGCAAGTACATGATCTTGTTTAAGGCAGTGGTACTAATTGTACCACTGTCTGTGGTGGAAATTTCTCTAGATATATATCTATTAGTTGCAGATGTGGTTTATTAATTTTTTCTTTTATCTTCTTTTCCTCTTCTGTCTCCCTGTTCAGGATCTCTTCTTACTGTGTAGCCATAAAAGATAATGTAAAAAAAATCCGAAAAACCTTCACATTTCTATTTATCTAGCATTCTAAAACTTATGACTTGAACAAAATATTCTTCAATGAACTTAGTTGTCTTTCTATAATTACTTTTCTGAACCAGTAAAAATATGAACTGTGAAAATAAACCTTTCTGCTGTTTACCTGTAAATTAAGATAGTGATTGTCAATAACTCTGAACTCTTGGTCTTGTATTTTAAGCCAGCCTGAGACATGAAAATATACTTTGGCAGAGGGGAAAGGCTTTTTATCCTTGGATAAAGACTGAGACTGCTGCTTTTGTTTCTTTAGGCTGCAAGACATGAAACTGCACACCAGGTCTATATCACAACCCTTCAGGTATTAACTTTAAAGTTCTAGTTATAAATGTTTACCACTTGACTTGGGTCTTAATTTTCAACATTTTGGGTCATAGTTATCACATCAATTGATTAGCAATTTCTGGTTTACAAGAATAGGCAGATAAGTTTTCGAAACACCTGCAAATTGCATGCTTTACTCCATTGAATCTAATATACAACATGTAATATACTATCATTAGAAAGCATTAATACTGAAAAGAGCACAATTTTTTTAGTTTTGTGACCTGGATTTTTGAGTTGGATTACTCCCTATGGCTAACATTGAAAATGTCTGTTTTACCCTTTCTTGGTAATTAAAGCTACTTCTGTTTAATGCCATTCCTTCTGTGCTTGTAGTTGGAGATGTGTACCCAAGTTCTTTGATCTGTTAAGGTCTGATCATGATAATATCCCCTGGTCTAAGGATGGAGAACATTATTGTTTTAATAAACTATTGTAGGCAGCCATAATGGTAACATTATTGAGTAGTCCAGTGTAACGTATATACAGCTCAATTTCAAACCATGAAGAATTTGATCATTAAGAGCCCCACTCTAGAAGGAGCTGTATGTTCTGTGCAACTTTCTGAAAATGTTCGTGCTGTCACTTGGAAATGATGATGATCTCGTGAAAGCTGCAGTGTCATTTTCTTCTACTCATACTCGATTTATAAGCACAAAAAGTATTCTTTCTCAAATTTACATTTAAAATCTATGATAAAATTTACAATAAATCTATAAAATTGGACACTTGGCCTTCATAAAATATCAAAATGAAAAGTAGCCTATAACTGTATAATAAGATGCAGCAGGGGAAATTCTTGGAGTGGAATATTTGAAAAGTTTTTTTGAAAAGATACTTGAAAACAGCCAAATTGTTGCATTTTTGGTGTTCTCAGACTTGGGAATTCCCACTTTTTAAAATACCAGTCTATGTATTGAAAGACTAGACTGTATGTGTTTATCTCATATATTTTAATTATAAAATCTTGCTTCTCACTAAAACTCTGCACTCCTTTTAGACTGAATACTTCAGGTGGCACAGAAGGATCCATGTCTCCTCTGAAGGCCTCCAAAGTGATGGCAGTTAACTCACCATCTGCAGAAAGAATAAGCAGACTTGCCACATCCTCAGGATCTAACCTCAAAAGGTTTTTTTCTTCTTCTCATTTTGGTTCAAGTACTTACCGTATTCTCCACTGGTTGTCAGCACACGTGCAGTCTGTGAAGCGCTTGCTGTTCTTGGGTGTAAGAAGGCTTAAATTTACTTACAAAGTCATTTGCTGTTCCACGAGCCAAGCTTTAGTTGCCTACAGATTTAAAAAACAAAGAAAAGTTAAAACCTGTCCTCCTGGTCTGAGCATTTTGTTGGAATTGTGTCGTCAGAAACAGTATTACATTGCTAAAGTTTTGGGGTTTTTTTTTAACTCACATCAGTTCGTAGACATTTTGCAGGTATTCCCACAAGTGTATATACTGTTACTCTCAGAAGAATACTGAGTGGTAATCAATATGACTTTTATGAACCCTTGATTTATTGCTATTTATTTCCATTATTACTGTTGTCCTAAGTAATTATATATGTTAAATGAAATTTAGAATGACAAATGCATTTTTAATAACTCTGGGCACAAATATTTACCTGAAGAGAGTAACTAACTTATTTCAGGACACCCTATTTTTATTCCCAGATTTTATCATATTACTTCTTGATTACTTGAAGGCTTATACCACATTACTGATTTCAAGCAGCAGTAGAGGAGTTCCTAAACTGTCACATGTACAGAAAGTACTTCAGCGTAGATCAGACACTGCCTAAACCTTTTAACACGATCTCCTGCATGTGCATATGGTTTGACAGAGGTGAAAGCTGGCCATGGTAGTGCTGAATAAGCAAAACTTGGGAACTCCTGACAAAGAATTCTGCTTTTCCTTACTTAGGAGCTAGAAGATGAACCTGTGTGCGAACACAAATTATTTCAGAATGGTCTGTGTTATTCACCAAATGCCTTCTGAATTGTCTGTTACATTTTTGTATATATCTCTACATACCTTGTGTATATTTTCTTCCCTGCATGTGTTTTCCATTCAGCGTTTCCATAAACTCCAGACTAGCCAGTTCTCTAGGGAACCTGTATGCTGCTTCAGATGATGATGAGAGCAAAATGACATCATCGTGCTCTAGGACAGGTTTTTCTGTAAGCCATATCTCCAGTCACCTGAATGGCAGCTTGCAGCTGCCACACAGAAATACCCGTGAGCTGAACAACAACTTGTACAACAGAAGCAGCAGTAGTGGCAACAACCTGAGCAGCCAAAGCAGTTTGCACAGCGCCGTGACAGATGGGTACGCACCAGCCTTCCTTTATGGGCCTTACAGCTCCTCCAGCACCATACCACAGTCAATTAATTCCTGTAAGTTCATACTCACAACTGCACTTCCAGGCATCTGAGTGATGCTTTTCTGCCTTGCTTCTGTGAGCAAAACTGTCGCAAAAAAAATCTTAACTCAGCATAATTCTCTGACTTCCTCTAACACTTCTGAACAGCACCTTTGTCTGTTATCTTTTTAAGTAATTATCATTTCACCTGGGGGTTTTTTCCATCTCTTTTAAATATCTACTACATGGAAGGTTCACTAAAATAAATGACTCCTGAACTTTTAACACCTTTTCTGATATTTTTTTTTTAATGGACCATCCTACCCTTTGTATTTTTTTATTTCAAATTATGCATAACATAGTTTATAACTTTGTTATGTATCTTTATCTTCATGCAGTAACAGATTTAAAGAAGGTTTTCTATGTATCATACTAAATAAAAGGCAAACGTCCTTAAAGATAGGGCTTATTTGAAAGATTAGTCCTCTTGACTTGAAACCTAGTCCTTTTCTAACACCAAATGTGAAAAGTATTATAGAGCAAGATATTTCTGATGGTTTCACATTGCAGCTTTCATTCCTCAACAACTTTGCTGCCTTGGACTTATTTTATGCTCTCTTTTTGTGTGAAAGAGTCTGTATAAAGAGGATGCACAGATAAATTAATGCACCTTGAAAGTGATTCTATACAAAATGCAGAGAAGAGAGACTAGAGAAACTCCCATTAAGAAAACAGAAATAACTTCATCTAATCTAGGGAAAAAATAAATATATCTACTACTAAAAATCTAAAACCAATTTAAAATTTCTAGTTTTCAAAGATTTGATATCCTACTAATTATAAAACTTAGTGCAGTGTTTGTAATAGACTATTTTGCCTACAATTAATTGAACCTGTCAGCCTCTGTTTACTAGTACTGACACTTCAGATTTTTATTTTTTTTACCCGCTGGAAATAATATTGGCTTTGTGTATAATTAACTTCAGAATATTGCACCTCTCTCTCCTATTTCAGTATAAAGAAAATTTTAGTGTTACACCTGCTCCTGGTTTTGAGTGTGGTGAGTCTTTGTCTTAAAGCAGCTAATAACACACATTGCATGTAACTAGGATGTCAGCTGAAAAGATCATTCATGGGTTGTGTTCTCTTTTTCCTGCAGAAGTGGAGGACCTACCCCCATGTTAACAGCTAGGATGTGGCACCTCTTACAGTTCAGAAGCTGCATGTTTATAGCTCGGGGTATGAATTGCACTTTCTGAGGATAGATGGCAGTAGGAAATAAATTCTCATTGTCCTATTGTGGAATTAAATTGCATGTGACTGAAACCTAACCTACAATACAAAGTATATTGAAAATGGAGTTAGTTGGGGGAACTTGATTCTGTGTTCTCTTTAAGTCAGTAGATATTTCCTGCTGTGGTAGGATATGCTTGACCTAAAGCAGCTCTTTAAAATACTTGATGCTTTCAGACTCCTCGTTTGAAAAGTACATTTAGCTTCTTATCCACTATAGCTTATCTGGAAATAAATGCTAATATTCCATGATCTCAGGATCACCAAGTGATCTGCATTGAGTTTAAACTTTACTTTAAACAGCAGCAGTAACTTATTTGCAAGGGAGTTCTTGAATATTGCCACATCCTTTCAGTTTTTTGAAGTTGTTTCACATCTAATGTGACTGTTTTTCCTTACTGCATGGGATTGAGGTAAACTGTATATAATTGAGACTTCAAATGGATACAAAAACCATATCAGTTTTTCTATGAGGAAACAAGTTCTAGAACAGGAAAACTGCTATAGTTTGACTAATTAATTTAATTACTTCAGGCATAGAGATAAGGAGAGGGATGAAAAGCTGCACAGCAAGCAGGGAATGTTTGTTTTGAGGCACATCAGTGAGTCTTTTATTTGTTCATGAATTCTGATTGCTCTGAAGAGTCATCCTTTTTAGATGTTCCCACTCTTTAATCCAGCATGCTTACAGAAATTCAGTCCTCAGGACTGACAGAGCCCCAGTTGGGTGTACTGGACCTAAAGTAGTACGCCAACAGTGGTTGGGAGCAATCAGTCATCTGAATAACTAAGCGCTAAAGTGTCTTATTTGATTTTTTTTTTAATTTCTCATTTTCAATATTGTCTCATATTGAATGTAATGAACAATAATTCTTTGGAGAGTCAGTCCATTCTTGTTCTTTTCAGTTCTATCTTTTGTAAATTATATGCTGCCAGCAGCATTTCTTTGAGGTTTTTTCCATATTCTACTTACAGCTGCCTATTATGCATTAAATATATGCATGTAAGCCTACATGCAGTGCCCTAAGGGGAAGAAAACACCTTGTAACTGTAATGTGACTTAGTTATGAAAATAAGCTGACATCTTTCACATTTGGCCAAAATTTACAAGAGTACTAAATGGTAATATAAACAATTACAGGAACAATAAGCATGTTTCCTCAAACAGCTTAAAAGGTTCAATGAAAATATAACATTTTGAAAATAAAAACTGTCATCTCCTTTGGAGAGGTAGTTGCCATACCTTAATGCTACAAATAATTTTTAACAATGAAAGCAAAGTTAGTGGGCTTGTTCCTTAAGCATAGGATAAGAAGTTAATTACTGGTGCCACTTTGTTTCTTTTTTATATCTAGATATTTACAAAATTCTAGGTTAGCACTCGGTTTGTCTTTAATCTTATAAACCCTTGAGGTTCAGCATAATGGCAGTGACAGAAAAATTTCCCAAATATATGTGGGGAGGGGGGCTGGGCTTACAATGTAACTGACTCTTCCACTGTTGTAGCATTCCTTTCCTTCTTAGATAGGGATGACTTAGCAAGAGGGAGAAAAGCAAGGAATGTTAGTTACTGCTTAACTTAGGGAAGGGAAAAGGAGCAGGTGAACAGGTGAAACAGCCATCTTGATGGCAGAGAGGGACTTAGTGCTGTGTGCATTGTGGTGAAGAAGGAAATTAATTGTTGTCTCCTTGCAATAGAACTGTCAAGTGATTTAAAACTGATTTAAATGAAATATGGTAAGCATAGTATAAAGTTTTAGGTTGACTGGGAAACGGTGAAGAAAAAACTGCTTTCTAAAATGCATGTTTCTCCTGTTTAAGAACATCTTTAGTTTTCTTCCTACCTGTCTTAATGACTTAGTAATGCATGGAAGGATGTAAGGGTGTAACCTTTGAATAATTCTTGGCTTGATATCATTTGCTGTTGAGGAGTAGAGGTTATACACAGTTGAATACAGCAAGATCTTTATATGAGATTCTATATCCAGTCTTCTCTGAAGAGGTGAGATAAAAATACTATATTTTATATAACATATACTGTGATATGAAAAGCACCATTTCTTAGGAAGAATCATGCCATGCAAAGTCTATGTAGCAAAGTACAAGTTTCTGATTTATTGTAAAGAAATATTCTTTCAATATAATGGTTAAAAAGTTTTCCTGTTCGGAATATGTTTTTCAGATATGTTCTGAGTAATGCATTTGCTTCTAAATACACCATATGGCCCTGTGCATCTCTCACAGTCACAGTAGAATACACTAAATGTTACCCATTTTATGCACAACTGACTGAGTTGAGTGTAGTTACTGTGATGTCACGATGTGTAAGACAAGAGTAGATTATTTGATCATTTAGTCTCTGAGTGCTTTGTGCCTGGTAGTGAGTGTCTCAGTGGCTTATACAGCTGGCTTATTTTGAGGACAATATAATTTTTCTGAATGATTAGTCCCACTGATTGAACAGAGTCATGCTTAAACCTATTTCACTTTTAACCTGAAACTTTCTGTTTCTCTTTATTATGTCACTGTTATAGTCCTTTATTATCTTATTTTCCTGTCATGAAGACATCTCATGCTAGTCATCTCAACTTGATTTTCTTTTGATAAGCTAAGTTGGCTTTCCTTTTGGAAAATGTTCAAATTCTTTAGTTTTTGAAAATCTTTCCGGTCCAGAAAGCTGCTACTCAGTGCTGTCCTGCTTGTTAGTCCATAGCTTGTTTTATCTTCTTTATCTATTGTTGGAAGTTTAGGAGGAGGGAAAAAAAGAGTTCTTGCCATCGAAAATATTGACTTGTATTTTATTCCCATGTCCTGCATTCCCCGTGGGTTTTCTTGGGTTTTTTAATGTGGAACTTTGTGGAAAAGCATAATTTTTTTTGCCATCCCCTCTTCTTAATGGAACCAATTAGCCAACCAAAGAAGATTTGTTTTTTCCTACCACTTCAACCACTGACATCCAGCTATTTTGCTTTTGGTGATATGCATCAGTGGGCTGAAGCTCATGAGCAAAATATGGAGTAGCATCAAGCCTTAATACGACTTCTGGCAGAATTCTGTTAAAACCAGAAAGAACTGCAATGTAATACAAACCCTTTCTGCAACAAGAGTAAGGTTGGGCTGTCAAGGCTTCCAAGTAATTTCACCATTTAAAGCAGAGAAGTGGAAATCATTGAACAGAATTCTAATTGGAGAACATCAGATAAGGTACCTGACAGAAGTCTATTACATATACTGGTGCTTTATGTTTATTCACTTAACTTAGCTTATCAAAGGACTCTTGAATGATACTGATTAATTACCTCTCTCTTTTATTGGCAAAATCTCCCTTACCTGAGTTAGATATCAAGCTAACCAGCTGTAATCACATACCCTATTTTAGAAAATCACCTTATCACTCTTATTTGTCCCTCTTTGTTAACTATCAACATCAGTGGTGCAGGACCATTTTAAGATGGTTAGGACAATAATTTTTCAGTTCTCATTTATGTTCTTCAAACTCATTAGTGAGAAAATTTTGAATTTCATTTTTATGCAAGTACTTTTTTTCCCCCCAGTATGGAAGAGAGTTATTCACTACTTTTTTTTTTCTGTTTTGTAATGAAACAACATTAATACTGTTGTTCCATTTAACAAAAAAGAACAATAAGAAATAACCATGACTATGACTTCCTGTTGTTGTCAGCCATATATTTTTCCGTAATGGTTTTTGTCCTTCATCAGTGCAACCTTAAAATCCACTTCTTTTTATCATGTTTATGCTGATGAACTAGAAGAAAAGCTTGATTTTCAAAGAATGGAAAACTTGCCATTCTAGCCAAATAGAATAAATATTTTATTTGCAAATTTTACAAATTGGATGTTTTGATTAAACAGAATGTCTCACAATTATAATTTGCAGAATTATTCTTTTCAGGTAGAATCACATTTAAGGTACAGTAATAAGATTTTTATTTTTTTTAAAAATATCTCTAAATTCAAATATCACTCTTAAAAATGTATTTTCATTGGAGAATATGTAACTGGGTAGTTTTAAGATGAGTCACCTTTTGCTTCTATAGCTGTCATGGAAACTGGTGAGATTGAAACACTTAAAAAAAAAAGGGAAAGGTAGCAGTACTTTAAAATGCATATACATCATTATGCCTGTAGAATAGTTTCTCTTAATAAGAACTTGCTATTAATTCAGGACAGCGTTTGCAAAAACATACACAAATGCTAGTGCATCTCACTGATCTCTAAATTTAGCAGATGCAAAGGATCACTTCAAGTGTGTCTGTATTTTCTGTAATATATCCTGAATTAGTTTATTGGGTCTTGTGTATTCACAGTAATTCTTGCCTACTGCAACACTCCTAATTGCAACAGTGTTTTGGGAGAGTTGATGCACAATGCAAAAAACTTAAATTATCTGGGAAAAGTACATGTTCAAACCTTAACAAATAGCCCTAAATCCTCCAGGGTTGTTCCCTATTAAAGGTAACTCACAGCTGACTTGATCCTGAAGTTGAATGTGTGCAAATACAACTCTAGTGCCTGGGTGGATCTGTTGCTTATTATCTCTTCCAGGAGGCTTTCTGTGCCTAGTGATCTAAGTAGTTGCTTTAACATGAACTTCATTAGATATCCTTGTGTCTTAATTCTTAGTTCTTTGTTTCAATGTCTGGTACTTGGGTATAAAATGCCAAACATCACACAGCATGGGACCACTGTAGGAGTACACATTGAGACTTTGACCCCATTAACTGATTTTATACTCATCATTGCAATTCAGCAGTCAGTTTTCTTTGGTTTTTTCCATCTATTTTTACCTCTATTTCAATAAGATTTTAAATAAGATTTTGTTAAATACAGATATTACTTGTAAAAGTGGATTGGGGCTTTTTGTTTTTAATAATGCTTTCAGAATCATAGGCCATACTTTGAGTCATGGCAAATGTAAATTTTAAAATAGAAAACTCCTCAAAAGATTAAAAAAAAGAAAAAATCTCAATTACAGGCTTTGAAACGTTACAGTCAATCTCTTCAGACATGTGAAGAGATTTAATAGCACAAATTACTCTTCCTCAGAAGCAAAAAAACCCACCAGAACAACAAGCCTTCCCTGCTATATTTTAATTTTCCAAACTCAAAAATGATTATCTATACTTTACAACAGCTCAGTTGTTAGGGTTATCACCGTGTTTTTAGTAATAGAACTTTATGTGAAGTCACATAAGTAAATCTTAATCTGGAAAATAATCCTGTTTAGATTTAATTATTTCTGTATATTCAGAAAATAAAAAAATAAAGGGCTGGTGTTCACAGTTCTTTGTCAGCAAACACTGACTGCTTTTAAGATCACCAAAAGTGTACAGTGCTTTCTGGTCATCTTTCATCTGTCCTAGCTATAAGTAATCTATTACTGTACAACATGTGAGAGTATATAATTAAATTTCATGCCTTTCTTTTTAATGTTTGTTAATCAGCTTTACTTGGAATTCAGTTTTCATGGATCCGTTTCAAATACTGCTCTGAGTGTAACCGTCTATTATTAAAATACACATCTGAAAATGAGACACCTTAGAGGATCATTAAGAAAGAGGGCAGAAGTTTCAAGTGCTCATTAATGGAGACTTACTCCTTTTGCCTTGCCCTTACTAAAACCAGACCCTTTTTAGTCAGTGGTATTAAAATCTATATGCTGTGACAGCATTACTTCTTCAACCTAGGAAAAAATATCCAGATGGTCTCAGATCTTCAAAATGTGAAAATACATTTAAAAGACAACTTTGCAAATATACACTAAGATTTATGATATAGGGGAAAAAGTGGTTTTGTGATATTAGTTAGAACTCTGCAAGTTTATATATCTATTATGCACTTCTACTAATGGGTTTTTCACTATGGATGCCAAAGAGCATTTCTATAGTGACTGGTTAGGAATAGTAGGAAAATGGAAGGCAAGACTCTGAGGTTCTGATCTGTCTTAGGACTCATGTTGGTCCCCAGTAGTTCTCACCAATTCTGCCGCAGTTTTAAAATACGCTTGGGGTTTTTATTTACTATTTGTTTATAACCATACTAATACAGTGATGAGCTCTCTCAGATAAAACTTATTATTCATCAGAATGACTTCTTAAACACATCTGTGTATGAGCTAATAAAATGTTTGGATAGTGTCTAAACTGATTAATAAGTTTTTAATAAAACCTTAGATTTCAGTAAAAACAGAAATGTAAATAAATACAGAATAAATACAGTAGACCAGGTTATACTTTCCTCTTAATTATACTGACTTCTTACTAATCCAGATGAAACATTTGCAGTGCTTCATTTTCATCTGTTTTTAGTAATCATGGATAAATTTATGCATATGCATAATTGTGCTGTTGTAGCTTTTTTTCCCCTCAATAATTAGCTACACCATATGTTTCCTGTATCATTATCTGAATCAACATCTTAAGGTATGCTTAATTTTTTACAGTAGCACTTGGACTCTCATTCAGGATAAGGGGAAACAATTCAATTATACTAACAGCTATCATATATGTCCTCAACACATTTTAAGGTATTGTTTTAATGTGGTATTTTAGAGGACTTTTTATACTTTCTTTAAGAATCTCAAGAATTTGTTTGGAAAAGTAAGTGTAGATACAGGAAAGTTGATGGATTCAGACTTTAGTTTCTTCTGTTTTATTCATCTGTACCTGTGGAGAGATTCAGATCTCCCTCCAATTCTGTTTATTTTTCTCCTTCCTGCCCTTCCTCTACTCCTTATCTTTTAAGTGAAAGATACATGTTATATCTAAATACAAACTCTTCAGTGAGTTTTAATCAGTTTTTCTTCTCTGCACAGTCCCTTCAGTCTGAGTATGTTCAGTACTAAAGCCTTGCTGCTTTGGTGAAACCTGCTGAGCTCTTCAAATTGATGTTCTTTATGAAGGAGAAGAACTGAAAAAAAGCTGCTCATTAAGAGGAGGAATCTTCAATACGAGATGTATTAACACCAAGAGAAGACCTCTTAACAGGAGAAATTTCTTGTTAATGACTACTGCAGATGCATTTATGTTGAATTTATGGAAATTACTACCCCATGTTATATACACATTTAAATTTTTTATGTTGAGACAGCTTGAATATATTTCTAATGAGTTTCATTAAGACATTTATTAACTTGTGTACAGTGTTAAAATATGTATTAAGAGAATATTTTGGTAAACTATAAAAATTATGTAAAAATTAGAATATATTTTAATTTAGTGTCTACTTTGCTACAAAAAATGTGTATTTTAAAGAATTTGTACATGCTTATCAAAGATATAAAAATTTTTTATGAACAAGATGTTTTTCTTGTTTAATGGGTCCATCATTATTGCTTGAAGCCTCATGTAATTACTCTTTTACTAATTGGTCTTCTGGTAACTTGATGGAAGTCCTAACTAATGAGAGACTAGTTGTTACAATATCTAAAAGCACTTGATACATAGTCTGCTCTCCACTTTCAGCTCCTAATGTTTCTTAAGGAAACACTATGAAAGAAAACTAAAGGGAAAATATTTGTTGAGATATGATGTAGTTACATCTTTCACTGCAAAGAGAAAGTAATTTATTTGATGATTCAATTGTACAACTAAGACTTTCAGTTTGTCTTAAAGGAATGTTTTGGTTTTGATGTAGAATGTTAAATTTTGCTATGCAATATATACTGCAAAAATGAAGGCAGACCAAACTGAAGTTGGTAAGAATGTACATATACAATGAATTCAGCAGCACTGCATACTTGCATGTTTTGAACCTACATTTGGCAGTATGTGTACAATTTCCTTAGCAACACACACTAAATGTTGGAAGTATATTAAATTTTCATTTCTCAGTTGGATGCTTCATACACCTTTAATTTTTTTGTTAAATATATAGTTTAGGTAACCTCCTGTATCATGGAATATTTTTGCCAGTAATAAAGATGCTCTGTAACATATAGTTAAATCAGATGTTATTACGAATGAGACTTAGAATTAAATGGTGTTACAGTGAGGTCCTAGAGACCAGGTGTAAAATTTTCAGAACTCTACGAGGACATAGTAAGGAAAGTAATGGGATTATTTGATTTGCTGCTAATCTGTAAGACAAAACCAAAACAGATTTGTTACCTATTAGTTTTCCCAGTATTTACAGAAACTTGAAAGTAAAACTTGGTTGAATTGTCAGGTTTTTTCCTGAAGACCTGTGAATGCCCTGCATTTGCTTTACAAAGTGCTACAACATTTTTTAAAAAGATCAGATCATAAATTGCTATAGCAAGTTGTACTGAAAGTGTTAATAAGGAAAACTGAGAGCAGCTAAAAAAATGATTGAATAAAATTTGCTGTACTTTTTTTGCAACTGTGTATATGTAACATATACACACACGAAGTAGCATATGTGTGTGCATATATATATATAAAATATACTGTATATGAATTATAGAATAATGGTAAGGTAATTCTACCTCTTATAAAGAATTTTCTCATGTACTTTGTTATAAATAGTTTTCCTTAATAAAATATTAATTTTGAAATGTAGATATATATACATATACAGCTAATTGATAATAAAATACCTATATAAGCCAGCTTCCTTGTTTCTTGTTTTCTCTTAGAACTGTTGATGCAAACTAATGTGATTTGATCTCTAACTGAAGATAGCTCTTCAAAATCATCTTTTTTCTTCTAAAGCCTGTATTGTATTTCTGAGTAGGATGATATTGCAAAAAAAAACATTAGCATGATAGATACCTTTTTTAACTGATCTAACTAACCTTCTTGTATTTGCTTCTTGTGTATTTGCATAATGTCAGGTATTTAATCAACACGTTGATATGATGTAGGGGTTATATTTCAAAATACCATAATTTAAAAGCTGTGTCTGAATAGAGGAAACCTTCCTGGGCGAGGGCCCTTTTTAAAGGTGTAATATGCCTTGTCTTTTTTGCACATGCAACAGGTTTCTTAGTCCCACCAACAGCAGAGTTTTTGTCCATAAGAATCTAAACATGCTTTCAATTAGCTTTTTGTCCTTCCTTCCTTCAATTAAAGACTAGTCACAAATGGTTTTAACATTGTTTGACTCCGTTGCTGATTTTCAGCAGATTTGTTGCATTGCATGATAATTTATTTACAGTACTTAATATTCATGTCAGATAAGTCTCTACTGCGATAGGTGATGTGGACAGTATGTAACTGTTCCACAGCCTCTCTAAAGGAATAGCAAAGCCAGGAATAGAGTGGATGTTTTAGAAGTTGCCCAAATTCCAGTGACAGTCTAATCTAAGAACACAATAAAAGACTTCTGCCACTGCATTCAGATGAACAATAGATCGTGATTTATATATGTAAATATAAAGGGAAACCAGCTAATTAAAAAGTTTCTAGTACATAGGAATCAACCTCTCCCTTGGCCTTTTTCTACAATTCTATTCATTTATTATGTGAAATACATACATGTCAGCTAATGTACAACCTTTTTTGTGCTTAAAAATTAATTATAAGTAAGTCGGTACTCCGTAACAATCAGCTTCTTAACAAAAACAAACAATTTGGGGAAAGTGAAAGGTCAGGGAGGTCTTTTAGAACCATGTAGCTTTTCATAAATACTCTGAAACTTATTTCATATCTTCTGTTCACCTATCCTTGAACTTTACCATTTCTGTTCCTTCATATATAAATAGATCTTGTTCTGGGAGAACAAGCTGTAGCACATGAGATCTTAAAAGACACGAATGGATGTGTTAAATAAATCTAAAGGTCTCTAATGGGCCTATGCTACTGTGGCTAGTATCTTTTGAAACTGTTAATTATCTCTTTTTAAAGTATGCTTTATGAAGCTTTTTGGTTAGGGAGCTATTTCTTGTTACAAATTCAGAGAATATTTTTCAATTACAGTACTGCAGAAAGAGGAGGATTTTAGTTTCTATAATAACTGTTCTTTACTGACAGCTAAACAATGAAAGGCCTCAGAAGGTTTGACACTTGATTAGATCTACACTGTGAAGTGCAGCAGGCAAAAAATATGGTAATTAAGGGCCTGATCAAGTAAATCACTCAGGTATGTCTTTAACCTTAAGCACATGAGCAATCTAATTAAAAGAGAGCATAGATATTCATGTTAGTAACAAAGCCACCTTTGGATCAATAGTTCTGTCAATTGCAAACATGAGCCTCCTGTCAAATAAGAAATGTGCTGTATTGCAACAAAATAATCCATTAACCCACACAAATTAACTTTGTTAACTTTAAAAAATGCATATTGTAACTATAAGTTCCTCCTAATATATTATGTTGGTATTGTCATTTGTTAGCATCAGGAGTTACGAATGTCTAAAAACGCCTTGCAAAGGTATCTTTGGTCAATGTACAGATCATACCTTATGAGCTGAGATTGTTTGCTTCTGTTGCCTACATATAACCTACCTGCAAAAGCAACTTTTCTCCTTAACTCATCACAAAATTAATAAGCATTCTTTTTCTGGAAAGCTTTTGAGAGGAAACAGAAGTTCTTTTATTGAGTTTCTTATTCTTTTCCAAGGGTAGAGTTCCTGGGAGAATCCCACTACTAATTCTTATCCGTTTGGAATGGACCGCTAGTTCCTACTCTTCAACAAGTTTTTAGTCCACCTGAAAACCTGCCATTTGTCTGTGAAGGAACTAATTTTGGTGTGAGACCATTTCAAATGCTATGCTGATTCTGTGTTATCTGTGTACTTACCAGCACCAGTGTTCATCTCCAGCAGGTTGGCAATGCAGGATTTCCTGCAGGCTGAGACAGGCTGAGGTTTATGAAGAAATGTAAAATGTTTAGATTGAGAACCAAATAAGAAGTACTGTCTTACCAAGACACAGTGTATCTATTCTGTTTGAAATATTTAATTTGGAAAGTATATTGCTATTATAGAGCAGTTCTAAAATTAACTAAGCTTGCAGAAGCATAGTGAGCTTTCTTTTAACAAAAAAATAAGATCAGAAAAAAGCCAGTTTAAGTAAGTATTTAGCAGAGGAGTTTCTACAGTAAATAGATTGTATTTCAGACAGAAGTGACTGATACTAGTTTGAAACCTTGCTTCAAATGAAAGTTGTGCAAATGGGTTAGAACCAGAAAACTGGTAAGGCAGGGAAAAAAAGAGTCAGACTGTGTAGTTGGAGTATTTCTGGAGCATGATAGGGTTTGGCTTTTTTTTTTTCTTCTTGATTTAACAAGTTGAAAATCTGCTGAATAATTCATGAAGAGTGGAAGGGCTGAATCTTCCTGGAATGATCTACAGTGTGCGTACTGTGGCACAGGAGAAACTGCAAAGCTTTGTATCAGTTGCTGCCGTTCCTGCTGCCGATTGCAAGGTGCTGCTGCTTTTGGTGTTTTCACAGCTACAGAAACCTCAGTTGTGCTCTGGTCTGCCAACAGCCATTTGCCTCCCTATGGACCCACCTTCACTAGCTACAATCTGTGGAATCTCTTGCTGCCTACCTGCCTTGGACACTGCTGTTCTCTGGATCGTTACTGCAAACTGTTTTCTGCACCTTGCAGCTTGCATGACTGAAACCTGCCTTAGAGTCCCTCAGCTGCACATCCTCCCATGTGCTTGGTGAGGACTTCTGCAGCAGAACTTCTGACCCAGACAAGGATGGGATTTACAGGGCAAAGTCAAAAGTGAGCTGCATTCAGCGAGATGCCCAACTCCTCTTCCTGGAGTGCTAGCTCGCCTCTGCTGCTGCTCTGGGAGGACTCCTCCGGGACCCGCATCTTTCTCTCGCTGCTCTACGCAGTCTTAGCTATCTCAGGGACTTTATCCAATGTGATGGTCATCTATTTAGTCTTCTCCTTCAAGAAGCTGCAGACAACCAGCAATGCCTTCATCGTGAACGGCTGTGCGGCAGACCTAAGCGTGTGCGCCCTGTGGATGCCCCAGGAGGCTGTGCTGGGGCTGCTGCCTCCCAATTCCTCCTCCCTTCGCTCGGCGGAGTACCGGCTGCTCCGAGGGGGGCTCCTGGGCCTCGGCCTCACCGTCTCGCTGGCCTCGCACCTGCTGGTGGCCTTCAACAGGTACGTGCTCATCACCAAGCTGCCCAGCGTGTACCAGGCCCTCTACCAGCGGAAGCACACGGGCTGCATGATCGGGCTCTCTTGGGCCCTCGCCCTGCTCCCGGTCCCGCTGTTGCCCGGGCTCTGGACCCTGGGCTCGGCCCAGTCGGACGGCAGCTCTCGCTACACCGCCCTGCTCCTCGCCCTGGCCGTGCTGGGCCAGACGGCGCTGCTGCTGCACTGCTACCTCGGCATCGTGCGGCGGGTGCGGGGTAGCGCCAAGCGGGTCAGCGTCCTCAACTTCCACCTGCTCCACCAGCTGCCCTTCCCCGCCGCCCCGCCGCCGCCCCGCCGCGCCCAGCGCCGCCTCAGCAGCGTCTCCGTCCTGCTGCTCTGCTGCGTGTTCCTGCTGGGCACCCAGCCCCTGGTGTGGGTGAGCCTCCTGGGCTTCTTCCTGCGCCCGGCGCCGCCGGCGCTGCAGGCCGCCAGCTGGCTGCTGCTCTGCTCGCTCTCGGCGCTCAACCCGCTGCTCTACACGTGGCGCAGCGAGGAGTTCCGCCGGGCCGCCCGCTCCGTGCTGCCCCGCGCCGAGGGCCCGGGGGCCGCCCCGCGCCCCAGCGCCGCCGCGGGCGCCGCCGCC